CCGAACGCCGTCTTTGGCGGATTGCCTGCAACGGGGAAATTAAAAATTCCTAAATCATTTAAATTGATTTAAAATAAAAGGTCAAGGGGATTTGAACCCAAAAGCTCCATTCTTTCACCTACTCCTTTACCCACTAGGCTACGCCTGATTAGATAATTTTAAGTTTATTAAAAATGATTTTAATGAAAATGCCCAAATTTCAAACCCAAATATCTGAGGAACCACTTAATTTCCAGAAAAAGTACAATAGGGTTTTTCATAACTCAACATGCTCTATCCAATGAGACATCTCTCATTCAAATCCGTGTTAGGCATCTCGTGCACTTCCCTTGTCAGCATTCATAGTTGCTGAGTAATAAACGCACCGATGTAGGGATAGTTCATCCGAACACCTAGTATAAGAAATAACCGTTAAGGTAACCTAGTGTTTACCCTGCACTGGCAAGATGAGTGGTGTTAATACTGAATATCATTGATACAGCCAGTACACAAGAGAGCAGAAAAACTATCACTTACCTAACTTACTGGTTACCCAACAGTTTTTCGCCTCCCTTGAGTAATTGTTTAATCAAATGATCGAATTTTTCTATTTCTTTTGTGTTCAAAAAATTAAATATTGTATGTAAAAAGTGCTTTCCATTCGTTGCAATGATTCATCTTTATTGTACAGGGTGTAGCGAAAGTTCGTGTTGGAGGCAAAAACACATTTCCCCCTGCGTATAAACCAAAATGGGTTTCTTTTGATTCACTCTTAAAAATTCATTTTGTCGATGTTTTGTCAATTTTGATCCCTCCCACCTACACGAACTTTCGCTACACCCTGTAGAGATCCTGTAATGGCTGAAGTTTCAAACATTCTCGGAATATCTGACAAATCCTTGTGAAATTCAAAGAAAGAATGGAAAAATTCCATCAGATGATGCTCTTGAGAGCGTCACACGCAAAACTGTCTGAACTCTAGCTGTTGAATCAGCTCTATTGATATCACAAAATTTGATGAGAAAATTACAAATTAACACCATCTATTAACAAAAATCATATTTACTCAGCAAGTGCTCAAAACTCATCAATTATAATTCAAATTTTCCCGCTTCTACTTGCACAATGAGCTGACAAGCTGTGAGTATCATAAAGGAGGAAGGTCAAAACTGTCTAGAAAGGTATTTTTTCGCTATGAACACACATAATGCACGCTTTTATACAGTTCATACACGAGTTCATTTCTTCAATCCATTTTTCGAAATAATTTTTCGTTTTCGAGATATCATGAAATAAAGTTGAAATGCATGGGGAAAATAGCAAAATAATAAAGGGTGAAAACACTTTCTGAATAGATTTTTTAGATGTAAAAGTCAATTCTGATTCCAAAGAAGTGATTTATTTTGTTCTGTCAGCCCGCAAAACCATTTTTTCGATAATTTGATTACTGATGTGTTTTTCGAAAATAGCCAATTTTGCGGGCTAACAGATGATAAACCATTACATTGGAATCAGAATTGAATTTCACATCTAAAAAATCTATTCAGAAAGTGTTTTCACCTTTTGTTATTAATCCGTTTTTTCAATAACGCAGAAATGATTTTATATAATAGTTGATGCAATGGGCTCTGAAAACTCTCCCGTTTGGCTACAATCTTGTCTGAAAGTATAACTATTTTTTGGCCATATCTCGTGAATTAGGAATACAATATGGCTGAAATTGGGACCTGCTTTTTATCATCACATACACCACTTTATCCACCACATTTAAAGGTTTTTTCCCCACCGTATTGTCAACCAACCAAACCCAACACATCCAAATCAAACATCATCACTTTTTAAAGAGATTTTTGTCAAAAAACTGTCTACTTTTTCAATCAATTTTTTCATAAGATTTTCCATCACCCAAATCTATCAAATTGTTCACCACTTTTGAGATATGATAGATATGATGGTGAATAGTGGATGTGCTAGATTTGGTTTGTGGACAATACGAAACAAAACGATTGAAAAGACTGAAAAAGTGGTGGATAAAGCGTTGAATCTCCTCTGACTCTCAAATGCATTTTGCATAATAAAATGCCAGGTATGGCAAAAGTCATGTACAGCTCATTTTTCGCTCTTTCTCACTAACCGAGATAGATATCGTGACCAAATTTTTTAGATCTTTTTCTCGAGCCGTCAGTTTATCTTTGCAATAGTTTCTAGTTAAAAGCTCGAATTTTGCAAAATGGCTTTTCTTTAGCGGCAAAGATCGCATATTTTTTATATTATCTCTATAATGTCGAAGGAGGATCTGCAAAATCGCCTGTTCTCGAATTTTATGCTGATTTCAAAAATCAAATCTATTTTTTCATAGCATGCATAGTTTTTGAGATATCGGCCAAAATACCTAAATATCACATAGTATTAGCGTCTTTTTAAATATAATGAAGATATGAAGTCTAAGCCAGCTGAATTTTGGTATAATCAATGCTATTGAGCATAGCAAATAATATGGTGATGGAATCATATAGCCAAACAGGGCGTTCAACGAAATCCAGTTTTCTGCAATTTTCAATCTGTTTGGCTATTTTTCAGGAACCAAACCTTCATCATATTATTCAGCCTGCTTGATTACATTGATTATAATATTTTGCTGACTTGGACGGCAATCTTCATTATGTTTAAAAGGTCCCTAATAAATCCATATTTTAACCCTGTTTGGAGATTTTTTTCAGGGACCAAATTTCACTATATTATTAAGCATCATGGATAACATAGATCACGAATAGAATCGACTGGCTTAGCGACCTCTTTCAAAAAAAATAAAAATGATAAAGTGCTAAAAAAATGCAACCTTCGAATCATAATATGAACTTTCCTTCCGAACGCGTTGTTTTATCAAAAAACGAAACAATCGGAAATATTCGGAATCAGGATAAAAAATTACATCCAAAAAGTTCATTTCACAAGGTAGGCACATATGTTAAAACATAACCATAACATAAATTTGATTTTGATTTTTGAAAAAAGCTATTGAGTTACGAATCAAATACTCGGGCATGCTTATTAATTCAGTAATAAGCTACGAATTTACCAAGTTTGAAAAAAAATCTGACTTTGCGATCTGAGAATCTTCCTTGTAAGTTATGTAAAGTATTTTATACAGCACTCATAATATATGTAAAGTTTAAGATATTGTTTTGAACCAATTCATCCCATTGTTGCACACAAAATGCAATTCGTTCTCGTTCAACTTCTCCCAAGTTATCGATGTTCAAAACCATTGCTGATAAATCTTCATTCAATGGTTTCCATTCCTTCTCATTCACTCTAGGCATGTATCCAAATTCAGCAAAATGAGTCCAAATTTTCATCATTTCCCGACTCAAATCAATATCTTTTTGTGGATAGCCTGGTTCAACCAACGGATGACCAAAAACATAAGTAAGATCCGAACCATGGCAAATACCCGTCCACGGACTGTCATCGCACATGGTATTGTAACTTGGAATAGGCTTCTGTGTATGATAATAGCCATAAACTTTGCCTGTTTCTTGACCACCTTTTGACCAATATTCAACTCCAAACATATAAGTTGGACAAACTATGATAGTATCACTGTAAGCCTGTATTAGCTGTTTTAAAAGATATGCCGATGAAAGATCTATGGATGAATTGAAATATAATTCAGTGAAATATCCTATTGCCTCTTCTTTGAAAATTAATCGAAGGTAATCCACTGCTTGTGAGTAATTCAGAGTAACATCAATCTTTGGATTGAATTGAGTGGCACTGAGGAGTCCCATAAACATGGCGAATTCATTCTGCTCCACACCAAGCAAGATATCAAGTGAGTTATCAAACATTCCCTTTGAAAATGCTTCCGATGGACTATAAGGAAGAAAATCATCTCCATAAAACCAACGAAATGTAAGAAGACCATCCGATTGAGCATTCATAATTGTCGATGCAGGTAAACTCTGTAAGCAATTCAGTAAGTCGGTAGATGAGGCGCATGAGGTACGACCCAAAAGAGTGAAACCGTTTTCAATATAATAATCAGGATCTTCAACTGGAAACATAATTGTTCCTGATTGGAGTATTGCTCTTTTGAATAAGCCCCTGGATAAAGGTGACAAAATATGTGCTGAAACTGACATGGCACCTGCAGATTCTCCGAAGATTGTCACCTGATCAGGATCACCACCGAATTTATCGATATTTTCTTTAACCCATTGAAGAGCCAAAAGTTGATCTTTCAAACCAATGTTCGGTGGAATCCTAGTTTCTTTATCACCAAAATGCATGAAACCAAAAGCATTGAGACGATAATTGTGAGTAACAAGGACAACCTCGTGTAAAGGCACTATTGGAATACCACTATAATAATCATTTCCAAAGCCGAATGTCAAAGCTCCACCATAAATCCAAAATAAAACAGGTCTTAAGAACGTACTATTCGATGATTTGAGAGTTGATTCCGTTACATAAACATTGAGAAATAAACAGTTTTCATTAGTTCGGTCTACTGTAATATGTTGGCTTCTTTGTAAACAAGGTGATCCATAATTGACCACTTGCTTGACACTAGTCCAATTATCTGGCTTAACTGGTAATTGGAACCTTAAAGGTCCAATGGGAGGTTTAGCAAACGGAATGCCCAAAAAATGAGCAACTTTAACTTTCTCGTATTTAATGAATTTCCCTTGAACAGGTCCATTTGATATTCTTACAACAGGAGTCAAATCAATGGGATACACTATTCTAATGACAAACGCATGCAAAAAAATACACAAAATCAGTATACTCAACAGGATTATTGAAGTAATTATTGATGGATAAAACAGTTTCTCCATTTTACGATTTTTCATTTTCATTTTTTTGAGATTTTCTAACTTTTCAAAGTCATTATATTGGTTCAACTTGAATTAGCAGTTTTACTGCCACTCAAATGACTACATGTATTTTGAAGGTAACATTATTTTACAATGCAGTTTTATAAGATAAACTGTATTTTATAACTGTCTATGTAATCGTTTACTTATTACATGGGTAATCAAAGATAAAGAAGAAGAGATTAATCACTAATAAATGAGTTGAAATGATGGATACCTGCTCATTCATCTATTAAAAATTCATTTGAATGATTCCCTTTTTAGAGATGGATGAAATATTTTCAAATCATTACCTAATCACCTATATTATGGCCAAATTTTACGAAAACTGGTGGAAAAACTCAGATAAGTTTTACTAACATTTTAGCTATAAACGCTAATGACTTTATTTGCATTTTACTTTGCAAACTTCACAAAACAATAAACTGAATCGTTTGGTGATGAAACTTGACGATCGTATAATTAGTCTAGAGGACTATGATATTCTACTTGATTGAGCTCCAAATAAATAGCAAATTGTTAACAAGTACAGGTTAACTTTGCTAACCCTTAATTGAATTAAATGAACATTGGGTTGAAAAGTTTGACCCATTTTGCCATTTCGGCCCTTTGTCACAACACTATCATAATTCGAGGCAACTTAGGATGGAAACCAGACCTTTTTCCGGATAACTATGGTTATTGTCTCTTCAGTTAAGCAAAACATTACAAAAATCTGTTTAATTGAATTTTATTTAGGTTTAAATATCATTACTAAGCAACTGGCCAATATTTACAGCCTTTTTGTGTTATGACTCCTAATCTGTCGCTAGGAACTCCATAAGTATTAACCAACAAATTTTTCAGCTTGTAAACATCGCCATCGCTCATACTGTTAGTCCTGGACAGAATGAAACCGGATACTGTAATAATTATAAAAGTATATTATTTATATCAATCAGTCTACATAAAGAAACATCTAGCTGATCAGCTCGAAAGATACTTACGAAAATTTGAGTAACCAGGAAGGTAAACACAAACGTAAAAAGTCAGAAAGTTATCGTAATCAGTGTTGGCTATATAATAGGTAATTTGGGAAGTGCTATCTGGGAACGGAAAGATATATGTTATGGTAATATATTAATTTTGATCGAAAATATCAACTTTATTCTAAAAAAATAATCCTCAGATAATATTGTTTATCAATTGTTTGATTATCCCAAAATATGCGAAACATAAAGTAATGAAAAAGTTAAAATTACTTACTGGTTGAAAGATCGGAGACATTGAATGAATTTTGATTATCAGTACGTATGGCTAACAAATTTTCACTAAACTTTGTCCCACTAGACGATGAATGAATAATTGCATTAAAAACAATCTAAATCAATCGATTAGCTCACTTACTCAGATTCAGCTCCAAGAGTTGTGTAGTTGAAGTTCCCATCTTCTCGAGGAGTGAAATCCATTGTAACACACGTAAGATTATGAGTTGGTCCAGCAATTTCATACCATCGGCCGGCAATCTAGACAATTGAACATGAAATTGGTGTTGAACGTCATAAGGTCAACACTTTGAAAACCATTCTGTCAGCACCAGAAACAGGTGTAGGAACTGGACATTGACCAAGAGCTGAAGAAGCAACAGCAAAGACAATGAAGAGAGTGGCGATCATTTTCATAGCTTTTGCACAAAATTGGATCAGAAATGTTTTTTGATGCTGATGTGTTTACCTTATACAAGCTGAGCCACGATCATGACTGATCGTAAATTTCTTTTCCGTCTTTTCACGGTATTGTCCACCTCTCAAGTCTCACACTTCCCAGGTGGTGAAAAGACGGTAAAAAACTGGTGAAAAAAGTCGGTCCCCTCTTTCCTCTTTACTCAAATGACAAAGTTTTACATAAAATCCTGGTCCAACAATCAACCATCAACCTAAATAACAAAAATTTTTCCCCCCTCTCTCAATGTTATTGAATACGGATTCTACATTTTCCCCCCCAGTCTCTATTTTCATGAATTTCTCAGAGGTCATGAGATTCTGAGGACAGGTTTCCTATTTTTCGTCGTTGTAGTTGAATTAGGGCTTTCATGCTGTATATTTTTTTTTCTTAGAACCACAGTACGGTTCGACCACAATCTTGACGCAAAAATTTGATGCTTTGACTTTATATATTGTATGTATAGATGTATAGATGTATTGATAGATATTTATGAATAACAATTTTAAACCAAGTCTTTTGGAACAATTAATAATGAAATAATGGTAAAAAAAGTTTGCATTTCATGGAAAGAGAATCAAGATTATATTCACTATTATGCCATATTTAACGAGAAATTTGATCATTCACTCGGAAATAATTCCATTTAAAGCATCAATAAGTAATGCAATTTCAGGTAAAACACGATTTTAAATGGCAACCAAATTGTTTCTCGTTATTAATGTAACAATCAATATTATTATATTTCTGCGAAACCAACGTGATCAGTAAATGATATTTTGTATCAAATGAACAAATCTCCATTCTCTTGCCTAAAAGACAAAATTAACCAGAATTGTTTTGTTAATATTAATTATTTGAATGAAATCTTTTCCAAGTAATAATGAAATTGATAAATAGATGAAATGAAACATAAAAGGTTATGATATTGAACACATACGCATCAGTTAATCAACAATTTTCATTGCAAACATTTAATTTCTTGATTTGTGCAAAAACTATGAAAATGATTGCCACTCTCTTCGTTGTCTTTGCTGTTGCTTCTTCAGCTTTTGGTCAATGTCCAGTTCCTACACCTGTTTCTGGTGCTGATATTGGCAAAGTAGGTTTATAATGAAATGCTTTTTAAAATGTGCAGCCAATACGTTTGACATTAATTTGATGTTCTTTTGTCTTAGATTGCCGGTCGATGGTATGAAATTTCTGGATCAACTCTTGATCTTACATGTGTTACAATGGATTTCACTCCTCGAGAGGATGGAAACTTCAATTATACAACTCTTGGATCCAAATCTGAGTAAGTAAGCAAATCGATTGATTTAAATTGTCTTTTAATGCGATTATTCATTCATCGTCTAGTGGCTCAAAGCATAGTCGACATTTGTTAGCCATACGTACTGATAATGAAAATTCATTCAATATCTCTGATATGTCAACCGGTAAGTAATTTTAACTTTTTATTACCTCGTGTGTCGAAATTCAGACAATTTAACAATTGCTAAATTTCTATCATATTGAATTATTAATTCCTATTTACTATCAATTATTTCCAGAGACTCGATACCCAATTACCTTCTATATAGCCGATACTGATTACGATAACTATTTAGCTATGTACAGTTGTGTTTTCCTTCCTGGTTCCTCAGGTTTATGTAAGTATCTCTTCAGCTGATCAACTGGATTTTTCTTCATGTAAATTGATTGATATCAATTCATCTTTCATATTATGATTATCACAGTTTCCGGGTCGATTTTATCCAGGGCTAACAGTATGGACGATGAAAAACATGCCGAACTGTTTGATTTGTTGATTAATAAAGTTGGCCTTACTGCAGATAAAATTCAACCCATAACTCAAGAATACTGTAAATACTAACCTGTTTTCCAGTAATGGTTTTCAAATTTGAATAAAAGTGAATTTAAACTGTAATGGTTGATAACCTTAAACAACGAAATTCCCATAATAAATGATGTTTAATCGCATAGTCGAAGGTCATATATTATAATTTAAATAACTTTTTCGTATATTTAGCACATTTTTATGTGTGAAACTTAATGGGTCAAAATACTAAAAACAAATTATAAGTCATTGACTTTGACTTTTTATAAGTCAATCAATTGAAAGGTTCAATACAAAAATTTGTCTTGTGCTGTAACTTGTAACTGTTACTTAAATTTTTTAGCGTGTTAACGCTGTGATCCTTTCTACAGTAACCTTGATAGCTTTCTATAGTGATCAAAATTTACTGTATATTAGGTCGGTCAAGAACTCCGACAAAAAAATGTGTTGCTTTTGATGGAGAACTTTTATTTTCTAGACTATGAATACTCAGGCTAATAAGGTTTTGTGAACAAGTCGGCAGGGCTTCAAGTCAAAACCGATACCATTGAACGGGGATAGAAAAAACAGCCCCATTTTCTCATATTTTGCTTATAGAAAGACGTCCACCAAAGTGACCTTTTGAGATATAGATGTGGAACTAGGCCTGGAGACGACTCACAAGTTACTTGTTAGAAGATTCATTAAACAGATTATCAAAAAATTTTCTGCATTGATCTGAGAATGTGAGCTTGATAACAGTTTCTATGTGAAACCATGTAAAACCCTATTTGCTTGAATAAACTGCCTATTTTTGAACTAACTCTGACGTTGAAAGTTCATTCTCACTAAACAAGAACAACATTTTATCATAGCAGCAAACTGATCCGAACATCGGCAAATAATAAGCTTTCTTTCGAATTTAAGTTTGTTAAAATCTAAAATTTATTAAATTTTTGATCTTTAATGACCAGCAACTTTTGAAACCATTGAGATAAAATTATAAAACTTTCATAATTTGATCTTCAATATTTGCGTTCTTAATTTGACGTTAATAACTTACGCTCAAACTTTTCGCGGACTTCTTGACTAACCTAATAGTTTTTGGTGAAGATTGGCCCAGTCTTAAAATCTGGGCCCGAAATTCCCAATATTTTATATGAATAGAGAGTGCCAAAACAATTGTCACTTTACACAAAATGACACAAATGGGCATTGCGTCCATTTTTGCGATTTAAAAATTTCTGTCTTTCTCGATTAAATATGTGCTGAAACTGACATGGCACCTGCAGATTCTCCGAAAATTGTCACTTGATCAGGATTTCCACCAAATTTATCGATAAATTCTGTAAGCAATTCAGTAAATTGGTTGATGAAGCGCATCACAACACTATCATAACTCGGATCGACTTAGGATGGAACCAGACATTTTCGGGATAAATAGCATTATTGTCCCTTCAGTTGAGCGAATAAATACAAAAAATGAAAAAATCTGTTTGATTTAATATCTCGAGTACTACACTAATAGTCGATTAAGTTAACAAAAGTTTATTGTGTTTCATTGTGATTTTCATCATTAAACCTGATTATCTTTTTTATTAATGTACGATGAAATATCTATTATTTATCTAATATTTATTTATATAAATTGTGTAGTTTAAAGTTACAACTGGTTTGCAGTGGAAATTCAATTTAAATCAAGTTTAAATATCAACACTAGAAAACTGGCCAATATTTACAGCCTTTTTGGGTTATGGCTACTAAACTGTCGCTAGGAACTCCATAAGTATCAACCAACAAATTTTTCAGCTTGTAAACATCGCCATCGCTCATAGTGTTAGTCCTGGAAAAAATGGATCCGGATACTGTGATAATGATGAAAGTATATTATTAGTATCAATCAATTTACATGAAGAAACATCTAGAAACTCGAGAGATACTCACGAAAATTTGAGTAACCAGGAAGGTAAACACAAGCATAAAGAACCAGAAAGTTATCGTAATCAGTATTGGCTATATAGTAGGTAATTTGGGAAGTGGTATCTAGGAACGGAAAGATTTATATCAAAATAATATATTAATTTTGATGAAAATCATCAACATTATACTAACAAAAATTGTTCTTACAAGATGTTACATTGTTAGATTGATCAATTGTTTAACTTTCGAAAAGAAGTGATAAAGTAATAAGAAGTCAAAATTACTTACTGGTTGACATATCAGAGACATTGAATGAATTTTCCAGACCAGTACGAGTAGCTAACAAATGTTGACTAAACTTTGACCCACTAGACGATAAATGGATAATCGCATTAAAAGCTATTTAAATCAGTTGATTCATATAACTTACTCAGATTTAGCTCCAATAATTGTATAATTGAAGTTTCCATCTTCTCGAGGAGTGAAATCCATTGTAACACACGCAAGATCATGAATTGGTCCAGCTATTTCATACCATCGACCGGCAATCTAAGACAAACGAACATCAAGTTAAAGGTTAAAGTCAAGCTTATTGACTAACACTTTAAACCATAATATTATAAACATACTTTGGTAATATTGGGACAGCTAAAACTTGGAGGAACTGTACATTGACCAAAAGCCTGAGAAGCAAAAGCAAAGACAACGAAGAGAGTGGCGATCATTTTCATAGTTTTTTAGTAAAATCAGAAAATAAATGTTTTTTTATGAAACTTGTTGATGCTGATTTGTTTGATGTCTTCACTTTTTATACGTTAATTCATGAGTTTATCAAATAATGATCATATTAATATCAAAACACAGAATCTTATATAATTATGAATAACACTTTTAAAACAATGAATAATGAAATCAAAGTAAAAGATAAGTTTGTTAATATTTGTGCATTTAATACGAAGAGAATCAAGATTTCATTCTCCATCATGCCATATTTAACGAGAAATTTCATCATTTACTAGGAAATAACTTCATTTAAAGCATCAATAAGTAATGCAATTTTAGGTAAAACACGATTTTAAATGGCAACCAAATTGTTTCTTACTATTAGCGTAACAATCAATATTATTATATTTCTGCGAAACCAACGTGATCAGTAAATGATATTTTGTATCAAATGAACAAATCTCCATTCTCTTGCCTAAAAACACAAAATTAACCAGAATTGTTTTGTTAATATTAATTATTTAAATGAAATCTTTTCCAAGTAATAATGAAATTTCTCGTTAAATATGGCATGTTAGTGAACATATTCGACATGAAATGCATAAAAAAAACCTTAACTTATAATAACCAGAATTAAGAACATAAGAACAAGAATTATATTAAATAAGAACGTCTTTCGATAACATCAACACATCAAATTAAAAATATTTGAAATTGCATATCAAAAGCTCAGACTACACTGTTTGCAGTAAATCTAGTCTAGTTTAAAGGAAATTTTTGCCAAGTAATAATGAAATTTCTCGTTAAATATGGCATGATAGTAAGCATAATCTTGATTCTCTTCTCATAAAATGCACAAATAACAAACGCGAACTTTAATCTTACGTATAATATATTTTTACCTTGTTAACTATTCATTATTCATTTTTTGAAAAGTTTTATTCTTGATCAGCAATTCATAGTGAGGAGGGTCTCCATAACTTTTGTCTTTTCATCTTTTCCATTTAAGTAATCAACTTTTTCCACAAATTAAATTGTATGTGCTGAATTCAAAAATATTATCCTTTTTTGTCTGAAATCTCTTGAGCCTGAGATAATCGAGACTAAAGGTTGTGACTTCGGAGGCCACTGGACGCTTGTCAGTTCTTCGAATAAGCTGCATACTTAATTTTCTGATAGATCTTGATGCTGACTATTGAGTCCTTACCTCAAAAAGATAAAAAAGGATAAATTCTGGAGATCCACCTTTAGATAAGAATTTCTATTTTATCTAAGATTTCGTATTACGATATTTAGATGATTATTATTAGATAAATAGATGAAATGAAACATAAAAGGTTATGATATTGAACACATACGCATCAGTTAATCAACAATTTTCATTGCAAACATTTAATTTCTTGATTTGTGCAAAAACTATGAAAATGATTGCCACTCTCTTCGTTGTCTTTGCTGTTGCTTCTTCAGCTTTTGGTCAATGTCCAGTTCCTACACCTGTTTCTGGTGCTGATATTGGCAAAGTAGGTTTATAATGAAATGCTTTTTAAAATGTGCAGCCAATACGTTTGACATTAATTTGATGTTCTTTTGTCTTAGATTGCCGGTCGATGGTATGAAATTTCTGGATCAACTCTTGATCTTACATGTGTTACAATGGATTTCACTCCTCGAGAGGATGGAAACTTCAATTATACAACTCTTGGATCCAAATCTGAGTAAGTAAGCAAATCGATTGATTTAAATTGTCTTTTAATGCGATTATTCATTCATCGTCTAGTGGCTCAAAGCATAGTCGACATTTGTTAGCCATACGTACTGATAATGAAAATTCATTCAATATCTCTGATATGTCAACCGGTAAGTAATTTTAACTTTTTATTACCTCGTGTGTCGAAATTCAGACAATTTAACAATTGCTAAATTTCTATCATATTGAATTATTAATTCCTATTTACTATCAATTATTTCCAGAGACTCGATACCCAATTACCTTCTATATAGCCGATACTGATTACGATAACTATTTAGCTATGTACAGTTGTGTTTTCCTTCCTGGTTACTCACAAATTCGTAAGTATCTTTCGATCTGATCAACTAGATTTTCTTCATGTAAATTGATTGATATTAATTATATACTTTCATCATTATTACAGAATTAGGTTTCATTCTATCCAGGTTTAACAGCATGAAAGATGACAAACTTGCTGAACTGACTGATTTGTTGATTAAACTTGGACTTACTGATGATAAAATTCAATCCATATCTCAAGAATACTGTAAATACTGGCCGGCCTCCCAGTAATGATTTTCAAATAAAATTGAATTTAAACTGTAAGGGTTTATAACCTTGAGCAACAAAAGTTATACAGTAGTGGTTAGGGTTAAGTTAACAAATGGGGAGATTTTTTTCATAGTCGCCATCTAACAATAAATTAAAGTACCTTTAAGATCGAATTTATTTTTGTCCATTTCTCTATTGTCAATTTTCTCTGAAAACTAATTATTACCGAGATGGCGACACCTGAAAATTAACTTAAGTCTGGCCCTGTTTTGTTAACTTAACTCTAACCACTACTGTATTAATATAAATAAATAGATATTTCATCGTATAGTCGATATATCGTATCGTGTCGTATATATATTTTGCAATACCTTTTGTATTTTTGCATCTTTTTATGTGTAAAAGTTGATGGGCCGAAATACTTAAAACAAATTATCCCAATATCTTGCTATGAAAAATCCTTTGAAAGATTCAATACAAAAATTATCCGCAAGCATTTAGGAATGTGCTTGGGTTTTATAGTGTGTCAATGCTGTGATCTTTTCTACAGTAAATTTATGTAAATACATGTAAATACATGGATAATTAAGTCTAATTTCAATATGTCAGAATTTTCTTTTAATGACTATGTCCAAAAACTTGGATTTCACCGCTAAGAGTTGGGACTTTGTGATTTTTTAGGGGTATAAAAACTGAGTCTATCAATGCTATTGAAAATTTGTTTGAGTCGCCAGTTTTCGATAAAATTGAGGTCAAAGTTGAAGCTTCAATTGCCTTTATTTCAATAATAAAACCAGTTTTTTGCATGAAACTTCTTTTCCTGGGTGACTTTTGCTGATTATCCAGGAAATGCAGTTATTCTTAATCAAAAATTCTCTGTTCAGATCAAAAAGAGATCACTTCGATTTTCAGTTAAAGCCAGCCAATTTTTTCGAACTTAACTGAAATTATACAATTTTTGATTAAAGATGTTACTGTTAAATTTAAATATCTCAGAAATTAATTAAGATAATCAATTTCTGTTAATTGTAAAAAATGGCTGAATGATGAGAGAAACTAAATACCAATATTCATCTCCATATGACAATTAGGTCGAATTCAGTTGAACAAAACTCGATTCCCGTTCTGCGTTAGCCAACCTAATACCTAAAACCTAAAAAATTGCTACAATAAAGCTCATGGTAATGCTGCTTTTCTGCTCACTTTGAACCTTTTCGAAATAATCAAAAACAATTTAATCAACTTTTGAACCTGTTCATCCCTCTTCAATAATTCAAGTAGACATCATAATATTTAAATTTGCAAGATATAATAGTTTATTAATATTTTTCAGGAATATAAAGACATTCTAAAGATGTACCTATTGAAATTAACAATGTTTTGTTAAATGGTTCAATTTTATACTCAAGTTAATCATCAAATGTATTAATGTTTAGTTACACAAGAAATATACATTAAATCAAGGAAACCAGCGACAATATTTTGAATGGTACCTTCAGGACCAAAAGATAAAAAGTCTTCAGTTTCGTGAACAATAACAGCATTGACCCAATCTTTAAATGAATGGATATCCTCAACTGAATAGAAATAAATGTTGATTTAATATTATTACGAAAATTTATGTTGTCATTGAGCAAATGTTATAATGGAATAATACTAACCTTTGATATTCTTGAGACCAGTTTCAACAAAAATTACGACATTTTCATGGAGCGATTTTTTAGCATCAATTCCTTTTTGAATAACACGAATAAAGTTTAAAATATTAGTTAATGAACATTTTAATCAAAGTAGTGACCAAGTTATACCTTCAAATTCATACTCATTTGCAGTTCGAACAATCCAATTCAAAACTTGAGTTTTGTCGAGTGTCACTGTAATCGTTTGTGATAAAGTTAATAGTTAGTAGCTAATAAGTTGAAACATCTTCCAGTTATTTAAATGTACACAGGTTGACATTTGACGGTTCAATAAGTTTAGTTGTTTAAAGAAACATTGACTTACATAGGGAATAATCATTTATGAATTGAACCAATGTTCCAACATTAGATTCGAGAGATTTTTCTAATTCGATTTCTGTTGATCAAACAATATATCAGCGATGTTATATTTGCTGGTATAAGAAGTCTATTAAACAATTGAAGTTACATTACCTACTATTGGATTGCTTTTAAGAATAAGATCAGTCAAAATGACCAGATTAGTTTTTGCATCCAGTTTCTCATCCCAATCTGAATAGAGTCAAAATTTAATCTGTTAAAATTTTCTTTATGATTTTAATTTTAACCACTTACAAACAGCAGGTTTAGAATCGATAGTAGTAGTAGAAATGCACAAGATAACTCAATGCACAAGATAACTCACTGATTCAAAATTGTCACAGCAAATCGAAAATTGTCACCACAAACTTGAGAATCAAAAAACATGAATGCACAATTAACCCAATGATTCAAACAATGAAATCGGCCAAACTAGGTTTATAGCAATCGTAATTTTGAAAACAATGATTCAATAAAAATCAATAATCTTAAACAATGAGATGATCTAAATCTATTGACCTGAATTTAACTTTAGGAAACAATTGCAAAATTATAGCAATAATTTCAATGTTATTAAACTGATAAACTAATCTCAATCGGACTGCGGAAATCAATTGTACAATCAATAAAATTTCCAGCAATTCAACTAAACTGCATAGATCGACCTAAATTTAACTTTGAAAAAACAATAGCATACTAAATTTAATAGGATTTTGACCAATCTAAACTGATTAATGCAATAACATTGAATGGGTGCTAATTTGTCTATGCAAAAATAGGTCATCATTAATTTGAGTTCACATCTTATTTTAATGCTCTTAACATGACAATGTACAATTGTTTGATTGTTTAAATTAATCCCATTGTCTTATTGTTAACTATTGTTTCACAGAATTATTGTTTTTTAATTTTGAGGTTGCAATTAGCTAACTTAGTATAAAAGGAGAGCTGAAGAGCATTGAAATCATCATAGCTTGATCAACATCAACATCATCAACATCAACTAAATCAACTGAACCACCGTCAACATTGTATTTTATCACAGTTAGTTTCGTTTTCATTTGTTCATGTTCATTTCATCATCATTATCGACATTGATTTAACTATTTCATTTTCAGTTACTTACTTTTTTGCAGTTTGATTTTGTTTTAATTACGTTTGTAGTTTTGTTTTCCACCAGCATCAAAGCCAACTTAAGCATCAACACTATCAGCAATCAAGGTAGGTGATCATTTAAATCATGATCCTCTTTCCCTCACTAATTTCGCTTTCTACTAACCATTAGCCGTAATGAATGAAAAGAATTGAATGTATTGTATTATACTGTATGATTGTTTTTGTCATCTATTGATTTGATTATTTAGCTTCGTTTTCAATTAGGTTTCCGATTCTATTAATGCTTTAGCTTATATTCAGATTTTAGTTTGACTTTACTTTTAGTTTCAATTTAATTATGATCTCATTTCAGATTTAGTCTATGCCTTAGCATTGAGATGCATCTGATTAAGCTAGACATGATTGAGATAGCAACAATTAGTCTTTAATCAAGCGAATACTAAGATATAATTCAGTGTTAGCATTAATTTCTAATGTAGTTCATAGTCTCTTATCGTATCCTGTGAAAAGATAAGGAAATTTTACTAATCAATGTAGTATTAATCAAGTATTAACGAATTGATTAGCAAACAAGGGAAAACTCCATAGAAAATCAATTAACCAAGATAAATTGATTCTGTAAAAGGCATTTATGACTATTTTAGCCCAGGATAGATTACACCAACTTTCTCAGACCTTCGGTCTGAAGAAGTTGGCCATTGACAAAATTTTGAAAAAGTCACTCCTTCTAGGGGAAAATTGACTTTTAACCCCGGATTTTTTCAATTGTCTGTAACTTTTTTATTATACATACGATTTTGTCGCAACAAAAACCATACGATTAAGCACATCAAACTACACAACTTTTGCATTGACTTTTTTTCAATATCACTAACCATAAAAAAATTAGAACTTTGCGACAAATTTCACAACGTTAATTACGATTTTTGCAAGCTTATAACTTAAAATCTACACAAGTTAGGTACATACTTCCTTGACAATAATTTATCCACTCAAAATAATCTAATCATTTTTGTAGGTCACAAAGGTCATTTCAAGGTCAAATTTTTTTTCTTGTTTAACATAGCTTTTAAATGTTCTAGATTGCTTCAAAGCTGATAAATATCAATTCTAACGCTTTCAATCTTGAGTGATTGTCATTCTTATTATCAATGATCTTGCAATACATCTCCTTTTCAGTCAAGGCCGAGATGCTTAAAGCTAAGATGAACATTTCAGACAGTTATCGTTCTACACCACGACTTTGAATTGTCTGAAAAATTGAAATTAGGTTACTTTTTACATTGCTTTAGAATAGAATTAGAAGATAACAAATTCAAATAGCAAACAATTAACAAGATAACAAATTCAAATAGCAAACAATTAACGAGTTTTGACCCCATTTGTTCACCTATTCACATCAAAGTGATAATTCTTAAACAAAAGAATTGGGCTGAATGAGCACAAATATAATAATAAACAATTGAGACGATTAAAATGATTTAAACAATTGAAACAATAAAAGGATTAAAACCTTTAGAACAATTGAAATGCTTTGAACAATTGAAATGATTTAAACGATTTAAACATTTGTAACAATTGAAAAGATTCAAACAATTGAAACAATGCTATAAGGAGCTCTTCTATTTGTATAAAAGAACTGTTTTTTGTAACATTTCATCATTAAAAATGTCGTTGTTCTTCAGTAAGTGTTATCCTGATTCTTCTTCTCCAACTAGAGCTACTGCTGGATCTGTTGGTTTCGATTTACATTCTTATGAAGATGTAATATTACCATCAAAGCAAATTAGTATTGTGAAAACCGGGATAAAAGTTCAACCACCGGAAGGTACTTACATCAGGATCGCTCCACGTTCCATTCTTGCTGCAAAAGGAATTTATGTCAACGGGGGAGTAATTGACCCAGATTATACTGGAGAAATAAAAGTAATCCTACACAATTTAGGCGATTGCCATTTGTTAATAAAAAAGGGAACAAAAATAGCTCAAATGATTGTTGAAAGAGCAGAAGTTCCTAATTTGATTGAAGTAACCAAGTTAATTGACTTTAGTGAGCGAGGTAGGAGAGGTTTCGGATCTTCAGGAGTTTAAGTATAAAAGCCCGAAAACTTTTTTACTTTTCTTCATTCAGTTTTCATCAGCTAAACATCTAAACATGAGTTCCAGTGAAAACAGTTCCGACAACTCTCAACAACAACCAAACTGTAAAAAATCTTCATATCGAAAAAGTTTTAGCCAGGAGTTTGAACAACTTTTAAACGTTGAAATCTGTCCAACTTTGTGGGTTGCAGTTCATAAATCCAGATCTTCGCAAGGATCAATGTTTGTCGACATTCGAAGGAAGAAGGAAGGACAGTGGAGAGGAAGCAAAATTTACATTCCGACTACACAGGGTCTGTTCTTGAAGTATCCTGAATACGAAAAACTCAAACAAAAGTTTGAAGATTGGTTGTCTGGTTTATTGTTAGCTGAAACTATGGAGAAAGTTTTTGAATTTTCGGAATTAACTGGACGAACTGTATTCGCACAGCAAGTTATTGGTGCTAAAGGCTTAACAGTTGGTCTCAAAACTGAAACAAAACAGAGTTGTCTTGTTCTACATCGTTCAGAGATTACGAAAATAATCTCGAACTCTGTTGCAGATGCTATTGGTGCAGCAATGTGTCAATCGCTCTATGATTAACCTATTTTCCAGCATTTGGTACTCATTCAGTCAAAAATATTTTACGCTTTTATTCTTAATTATTTTTACTTGTATCCTTTTTACGAACGAATATTGAATAAAAAAGAGTGCTCTTAAAAAAACTGTTGCAATTTTTTATTTAAACGTGTAATGTGAAACAATAGGTAATTTGTAAGATAAACTTGACTTATCATATAATTTTACTCAGTTCATCTGCCTTTTTTCATGCATAACTTGTCTCTCATGAATTTTGCTTCATTTCAAATTATTAACTCTTTTGTATGCAATTGTATTCTTTTATCTTTTATTCATTTTGGTTTATTAATGTACAATTTTATTTCAATAAATACTGTTTATTACATTTTCATTTTGGTTTACTTCGCACTTCACAAAAGGTAAGTAAGAATCGGTAAAACATTTTTTTAAAAAGGTAATACAAAAATAGCCACATTTAATTGACAAATCGCCTTGCAAGACATCTACATTATAGATATAATCATAATGTATACAGTTTCTTTCCATAAATGTTTTTATCATTTCGGGAGGCTGTCGTCCAAAAGAATCAAAATAAATTCCGCTGCCGTACATTGGTATAAATACTGCCGTCCAATGTGAACCAGATTTCCAGCTTGGATCAAGGTTTATTACAATTCCGAAAGGTTTTGGAAACAAGGTAAGGGGAAGTTTGTCAATTGCATATACTCCTTTGAAACTTGTGTATTTTGAAAGATGATTTTGAATGTCTAAAGATGTTAGTGCCATCAGTAATCAGTTACAATATTGCGTGCTGCATCAATTTGTAAAACACTATCATATATAGCAAACACAATCATATGCAATCCTTTATCAAGAGCATCTTTGAATTGAATATCAACTCGCACATTACCCCGCTTAATTAAAGACAATGCACCTGAATCCGAGGCCAAAGTACCATCATCAGTAAGATCAAATACCAAAATAGGATAATTGTCAGCATACTTGTTGTATTGCAAATTAATTTGAGGGAATCCATGATCTTGATTCATTGATCTAAAAACATCATAATATTCTCTCATGTACAATTTATTAGTGAAATCAGGTTGATAAGGTGAACTTGGTATCTTTATTCCATTAACTACAACAGTTGCACTTTGTAGATTCTTATGAACGAAAGTAAAACAATCTTGAGATATGTCACCATTGAAGGCTTTATCAGGTACAAACCCAATGATTACTTTACGTGGTAACTGACCATTATACACATTATCAATACTACTAGCAGCAAAACCAGTTGGTAGGTGAAATGATTTTACTTCATTTCTTTGCAAATAATACTTTGCAGGACTTTGCTCAAGATGTGATGTGATTGACATTTGCACTGGTGTATACAATTTGACCCTCCTAATGAAAAGTGATAGACGTTCAAACTCATAAGATAATTTGTCAACAGCTGTTGAACATTTAAATCCAAAAGTGTGAGGAGAAGTTTTCAAACGTAATGTCATGGGTACATTATCAATTAGAAATTTTTCTTGCTGAAACATTGGCGCATGAATTTGTATGATAATATCGAATGTCTTCTTATTTTTGACTCTCTCAGTTCTCTCCGCATCTGTTCCTCCTATCAATTGACAATCATCAAGTACTGACTTGTACTTGAAAAATAGATCATCAATGTATGATTGATAATGGTATAAACTGTTTCCAGGAGTTATGTTGACATTTCCAAGGTAAACATCTAGTTGTTCAAATAGTGCAGCGGCAAGATTACTTGTAGGGACAAAGTTGCATGCATCATCAGTGTTGACTTTCATTTTTGCATACAAATAAGAAGCAGAAAGGTCAGTGTAATGCTCAGATCCAGGAACTATGAATTCAAAAACTAAAGCATTGGCTAATGATCCAATAGGTCTAAATTCTACATCATAAGTACTTTCGATAACCGTCTGTGTTGGAGGTAACTTGAATAAATCCAATTCAGCAATAGTTGCAGGGGAAGATGACGAATGTAAGAATTCCATTATGTAAAAATATCTTTAGGTATCCTTGTTGATTTTTTCTTTTTTGTAGCTTTTTTGTTGCTCACTCTTTTAAGAGTGCGCTTCTTCACTTTACGCAAAGGTTGTTTCGATGGTTTCTTTGGCTTTCTTTTATATAATCTTTTACGACCCCTTCCTTTCTGGATAGCAACTTTCTCTTTAATTTTAGATAAACCTTTATTGGCTAAATCCTTGACCCCATCCGTGAAAGCTTGTTGAATTTGTGGGTCTTGAACTACACGCTTACCTATGCTGACTCCTTTATTTAATGCTTCTTTTCCTAAATACTTTACTAATGGCATAGCAAATCTTGCAATGAATCCACCAAACCCATAACCTCTTTGGAATCTAGGACCTCTCACAATGTTGATGTCACCCAATCCCGAACCGATTTGATGAGTAAAATAGCTGTTGAAATCACTGTGTTTAGGGCAATAAGTTTTTCTTTCAATCATTTTATTGAATACATCATTAATTACATTGTTTTCTTTATATTAATTCTTTTTACGAAAATCCAAGCTTACAAAAACTCTTCCAATGTTGGCAAATTTAATCTGCTCTCCAGTATCATCTAAACAAATAATTGCAATATTTTCAATATGATTTTTCCTTACTGGATAATATATTCGATGTTCAAATGTGCAATAACCGATTCCTTGATAAATACCAGTCGTCAGCGGTACTGCTCTCAACACAGGCGCTTTAGTTCCTCCAACCGTATGATCCCTTATGATATCAGTATATACGTACATCAGATTGACATTATTTTTATGATAAAGAGGTGTTGTTACTACAACTTCCTGTTTGTATGAATCAATAGCATTAATCAAAGCATCACCTGATGGGGAGAAACCTAAATATTCCAATAATTTTCCGTCTGAAAATTGTGGAACAACTACAATAGATGAAATTGCTTTGTATTTATCAGTTTGCTCTCCATTTGTAGAATAGTCAGTCCTTATTTCATCAATAAGTCTGTTTTTGTAATAATAAATCCAATTCTTGTCTGTACGCATAAATTGCGATTCAGTTGACAGAGTGCCTATCTCTTCTAAATCAATACCATAATCGTTTTTGTATTTTGATTTAATCAGATCAACAGGACCATCTACAGATAGACCAATCTTTGCATATTTATCTACTGTTGTAGTAAGAAGGCCAGCATAGAAGACTGTTTTTCCATTTTCACAAACAAATTTAGGATAGCGATCAAAATTCCATGAAGGTCTGATTTTGGTCAAATTTTTCATCATTGCAGTGTTGAGTTTATCTATTATCAAATCTAAAGAGTCATCTGGAGAAACATCAACAGATGAAGCATAATCATCACCAATATATGCAAATTTTAGCCACTTTTTGTCAGGAGCGTGTATCTTTCTCAGGTCTATATTTGGATATATGACAAAGTCTGTCATCACAAGGTTGAGTTCAACTTTCATTTGCTCTGGTAAATCAATAGCAAATTTGACGGGAAAATAAATTTCAGTTAGTGCAACTTCCCAATCACCATCAAGTTCCAATGCAGGATCAATTTGATTTTGAAATTTAGATAATGTATTGTCTGGAAAGATGTCTGTAGAACCATTTGATGCTAGATCAATCGTAAAGTTAATTGTCGTCATTTGCGAGAGTGATATCGGATATCCAACTATTGAATTTTCTTGGCCAGCCTTCCCACTTGACTAAGTACTTATATTGTCTTTGTGATCTGTCATAAACTCTTTTGACTATTTTTTCAATTTTAAACTTTTTTGTTTGATCATACTTGACTTTTTGCAGTTCTTCTGGGTAGAAAATTGATGATATATCTTGACCTTTTAAATCTTGTAGCTTGTATATGAATTTCTGCGGTGTTTCTTTAACACTTGAAACTTTGAAAACTTCGTCAGTCCACTTTTGCACAGCATCTTTTTCGAAGTTACCAGAATTTAACGGGATTTTTACAAGATCATTACCACGAAAGATTTGCTTTCTATCTTCATTTGTTTTGATTCCTCTCTGTATAGTCTGCAAAACAGAATCTTGATTGTCCTGTGTTACAGAGTTTGGAGCTCTTTTAATAGTTCTGTGATAAGAATTGTTGTAGTTTTCAACAATTTCTTGCAAATTGTCAATGTAGCGTTGTGTATGTTTCCAATAGATAAATCTGTAGATGCGTGAACGCAATGTTCTTATCAGACGTTCAGCTAATGCACATTTAATCGTAGCATCTGTTGTGGTAAAGAAATGTATACCGTTTGATGAACAAAAATTTCTAAATCTGACATTTGCAAATTCTCTTCCTTGATCAGTTTGCAACTTTTCTGGTTTTCTCCCTGAGGCTAAAATTTCAGAAAATGCATTGATTATCGTAGATGCTGATTTATCTTTACAAGGCTGAACCCAAGCAAATCTACTCAAAATATCGATGACTACTAATAAATGAACAAAACCATCATTCTGTTTAGACCAATATGTCATATCCATTAAATCAGCTTGCCATTGTTCATCAATCCTGTCTACTAATACAGGTAGTCTGTCAAACTTTTTTCTCCTTAAACGGAAATTCGTATAAGTGTCTTGATTCAATAGCCATTGTTTAACGAAATTGTAATCAATTGATGGATCTTGTTCCTTCGCTGCGGCGAAAAGTCTTTTAGCACCACCAAAACTACCTGGACTACTTAAGTTGAAGTACAGGTTTTTCAAAAGTTCTTCACGTTGGTCCACTTGAGCTTCTGACATTTTTTTCTAGGTTGGTCACCACTTTTAGGTCTTACAGGTCTTTTAGGTCTTTTAGATAACTTTGCTTCATATTTTTGCACTGCTTCCTTAAAAGATGTTTTGATTTCATTCAAATCTACTTCATTGAATTTATTCTCAACTTGAGAATTTGTCTCTGTTTCTGCAGTAGTTTGCTCAACCAGAGGTTTCACGTTGTCACTTTTTTCATCATGATTTTTGAGAAGAATGTACTCCTTTTCTGGAATAACAACCATTTTATTGATGACATTCATGATATCAATTTATCAGCCAATTTTCCACCTAGATATGATAAAGCTGGCCAAAGTAACGCAGGTAAAAATGCACCACCACTTTGTATTATTATTTCTTTTCTTTTTCTCAATGGAATACTTTTTCTAGAAAGTTTTCTTAGTTCGATTTTATAGCGATTAAGTTTCTTTCTTTGCACGTCAGGAAGTAATATATTCCCGTTTAAAGTGTTTTTGCTGATTTCAGATATTGCGTAGAAAATACAAGATTTTGCTTCTGTTAAAATTTTTTCTCTTTGCTTTTTTGATTTAGCTTGTGCAAGCTTTTTTAATGTCGGAAGACACTTTACAACACCTTCAATCGACATTTAGTAGGTAACATGAAATTGCTTATCTTTATATAGCTTAAAGTAGATATGTATACATTGGTTTATCTCTTTCATTGAAAATATTGGTCAATAACCTTGTTTTCTCTTGTGTGTCTGGTTTAAGATCAATGAACAAGTATGAGTATGGCTCTTGAGTCGCATCTTCATAAACAGCTGCAAATTTTTTAATTTTTGTTGGAAACATTTGACGACCGATATTTGTTACAATAGATTTATCACGAGGATTTTTAAAGCATACAACATATTGACTGTTGAGGCTGATGTTTCGAGTCTCTTTACCTTTCATGAAGAAATTTTGAGTGATTAAAATTACAGAAATATTTCTATGATGTGATCCTTTAGTAAATAAATCACTAACAAATGATTGATTCGCAGCTTCAGACATTAAATCATCTATCACTAACCATTCAGGATCAACTCCGCCTAAACCTTTGATTACCTCTTCTTGTAATCCTTCAATGAATTTAACACCCGGCATTGAATTGAACATTTTTTGATATTCTCCATAAAGATATGTTACAGATTTAGGTGGGGGATCACATATCTGTGAAGCTTTGTTGATCATGTCCCGAATGAAATGAGTTTTTCCGGAACCAGTTGGTCCTGCTATAAGCATAGTAAAAGGATGTTTTAAATGAACAGAAATAGACATTTTGTTATTTGCAAAAAAATTACATTTTATTGTTTTATATAATAATTATTAGGTATTTTGGGGTGAAATAGATGAGGCATAAGAGCCTTGATGAATAAGCGCGTCAGACTTGTTTGATCGGACGTTTGGAGTTGAAAGTATGAAACCAAGTGATGACCCAAGTAAGGCTGTCCATAGAGGCAGGTTTCCAGTCTTCAGAATTATATTCACAATAGATGTGATCAGCAATGCTATCAATACAGCTAGTTGAACAACAAAGAGGACTTTTCTGTACCATAAGTTGTGTTGGACTGCTTGAGGAGATTCCATTTTCAATTGCGTTGCTTACTTTAGTTTTAGACGGTTCTTTATATAGATTTTAGTCTTATATTGTAGTCGAATTCATCGCAATAATGCCAAATTGATGACAGCTCTTTCAAACCAGTTATTATTACTTTTCCTGATCTGAAGATTATAAAAATTACTTTTGATTCATCAAGTTTAAGATGTATTCCTGGAAAAAGCTCTGGTTCATAAGACGATCCTGGGTGACGTAAGAGCGCTTCATAGTCAAAATCACCAATAATTTTTGCACAAACAGTTATGTTCACTATTTTAAATGTTGAATAAGATATGTTGGAAGGATATTTAGAACAAAATCGATCAACCAGTAACATTGATGTTACTATATTTTGAACACCCGTTACATTGATTTTTCCTGAATCAAAAATCAGCAAACAACCTTCACAATATTTCAATATTCCGCCTGAAAATGATTTTGGATACTTTATAAATTTAAAATTTTCTTTTATTAGATTACGATCAAGTTTAGAGTTTAAAGTATATGATGTTACAATGTTTGCAATAGAAACGTTCTCTTGTAGGTACTTCATAGTAAATGACTCTTAATTAATAAGTTTCAGTCTTATTACTCCTGTTATTTTCTCACGACAGATTGGGCAACTAGTGATACCTGGTGCACAATCAACGCAAGTCACGGCGTGATCACACGGGAAGAAGCAAACGCCAATTTCTTTTTCCAAACAGATTTTACATTTATATCGATCATTGTCTGGCTCGATGATTGGTGAAGATTGAACTTGCAAAAGTTGATCTCCTGTACATGCATCGATGAAACCAAATCCTTTTCTGATGTAAAGGAATGTACACCAGGGAGCGAATTTTGCGTGTGATACCCAAGCATCCTCTCCAGGCAACCAATTACCAACATGTACTCCGCAATGAAAACAAACAGCAATGTCAGCTTTCCCGCTGTATACGAAACCGGCTTCAGCTAGGTTGTTCACAGAAATGTTTTCACTGTTCCAGTTTGAAAACGTATCGATTCTGCTTTGTAAGGTTATGTATTCAGGATACTCTGCATCAACAATTTGGTTGAAACCACAAAAGGGCGATTTACCATCGCAAAGATATATCGAATTGGTGTTTTCCGTATTTGGGACTGCTACAGGAGGGCTCCGTCCAGTCGATTCATCACTGTTTTGAACTGCAACAGGCGGAATATCACTGTTTTGAACCAACACAGAAGGAATATCATCTAATTCACTTCTAATGTCACTCTGGGAAATACCGAGAGGAAGATGTGGGAAAAAACCATCAAGGATAACTTCATTACAATCAACCATCATGAATGAATGAGTGAATACGAATAAATTTTGTTTGGTTTTTGCCTCACTTTTATACCAAAGGAAAGAGCTTTTAGGTCATAGAGAACAACACAGTTTTTTATTGTTTATTGTATTCAATGAAACAATACACAATGAGTAATAAAACTTGAAGAAAACAATTGATAGTTAAATCAAGACACAATTGAATATCTCATAATTATTTCAATTATTGAAGTATTAATAGTACAGGATATCCTTTCATTGTTTGTGATTGATTTGCCCTAGATAAAGACAATACAATAACAACATTAAGCAAGTTTAATGTCTAGTTCACTCGTAGGGTTGTACAATATGCGTATTAATAAAATGAGAATGATAATTATTACCATTGTAAACCTAATGACACAAATTTGCTCAAATTTAATCATTTTAAAAGTAGACCAAGAAAGTTTCATCAGTTTATATACATTGTAACTTGACTATATTAATTTTGTTGTCATAATTGTCAATAATCAATATTCAAAATGTGACAATTTAGATAAAATGAGTTATCTTGTGCATTGAGTTATCTTGTGCATTTCTACTACTACTTCGATGAATTTATCTGCAACATTCAATAGATTTTCTCGGAAGGTACCATCAAATCGCCAGTCTAAATAATGATAATCATTTATGATAAGCAAATCGTAAAAATATAATAGTAAAAAATACACTAAAACTTACTTGGGATAAAACTGACTATATTTTTGACAACTGCAAAGACAAGGTCGTGGTCAAATTTAGGACAAACCTCTACAGTAAAAGAAAGGTTTTAATATCGTTTATTAACAATTCATTTCATGGATCATATTGTTATACTTACTTTCAGAAACTGGAGCTGAATTGATTGCTGAAACACAGAGAAGGGAAATCAAAGCAATTGGAAATTTCATTTTGATGTTTTATTAAATAATATCGAAGTATTTCTATGACAAGATGATCACAATAGCTATTAGAAAAGTTAAATTGAATAATTTGCTTTGCAGTTCAGACCTTTTATACGATTATTATTGCATCCATTTCATTTCACAAACTGATCTATTTCCATGTAAATTGATAATCTTAATTTGATTTGCTTTTTTCATGAAATTATCTGTCGATTCTCCGAAAATCAATCATCACTCAATTGTTGAATCCAATCATCATTGATTATCATTGATTCTCAGTAATATTTTATCTTGTTTACCAATTTGCATTGAAACAATTCATTGATATAAATATAAAGGAGGATGTCAAAAAGAATAGGCAAAATGGCCTACTATTGAATTTTTTTCAAACATAATTTTTCCGATGTAACTTTGTGTGCTGATTCCAAATATTCAATTCAAATTTTTATTGCACGCATAGTTTTTAAGATATAGGCTAAAAATGCTAAAACCTAAAATAAGCGCTGAAGCAAGCTAATTTTTTCTAGGCATACATACTTTTTCATGAGCAATTCGATAGTCAATAGAAAAAGTCCGGAAAAATAGCCAAAACTAGACTTTTATCAAAAAAACTGTATTTTCCATATACGTTCCAATAGCAACTCAACTAATCGGTTCTGAAGCAAGCTAATTTTTTCTAGGCATACATATTTTGTCATGACCAATTCGATAATCAATAGAAAAAGTCCGAAAAAATAGCCAAAACTAGACTTTTTTCAAAAAAACTGTATTTTCCATATACGTTCCGATAGCAACTCAACTAATAGGTTCTGAAGCAATCTGATTTTTTCTGTGCACATGTATTTTAGCATGAATAAGCAGACGATGTTTGAATCCTGTTGCTAAAAATAGCCAAACCTGGGATTTTTCTGCGATAAACTGTATTTTTCATATACTTTCCGATAGTAAATCAACTAATAGGTTCTGAAGCAAGCTGATGCATATGTATTCAATGATATGTCTTGAAAGCTCAATGTTCTATGCTTTGCACTATTATTTATGTTATTTAGTTGCGCGATAGAATTCTTGTACTCTTGTTTGATTTTGCAATTGATTTAATTTTAAATATAAATTCTTTTCATCTTTAGGTAACATTAATTCATAAAATTTCAAACGGACAAAGACATTATCAATAGTTTAAATATCAATTTCTTCCTGGATTTCGGAGATTCTCATTGCAAAGCTTTCAAGATGTGCAGCAGGTATTGGTGGGTTGGACAGCGATCCTATGGAGCCATACCATATAACAGTAAGTACATGAGCACAACAACCTGATGTTCGAGCCCCAGACATGCAGTGCAATAATACTCTTTGATTCTCTCTATTCCAGTTTCATTTGAATCGATGAGTATATAAATGAAATACTCTGTACCACGCTTATGACGAGATCGTAGTTTGGTTCGCAGAAGCAAAGGTCCATCACAATCGATACCGTACTGTGCATAAATATCATTCTCAATATTTCGGTGGTTATATAGTTCGAAAAGTATTCCGTCCATATTCACGCGCCTCATGTCATGGTAATAACTAGCACAATACTTCAATTGGTATGTCCCAGCGGCAAGAAAATAAAGATCGTCCATTGTTATCTCTGACGAAAACCAAGTATGCACCTCATCAATATTTTTCAATTCAAAATCAGTTCGAAGTCGGTGCATTCCTTTCTCCTCAACCATTTTGGCAAACAAATTTTCTTTACCTTCTCTCGAAAGTATTGTTTCAGCTATTTGAGTCTGGTATCCAACGTCCGACTCAATTCTTTGATGAAATGCGTTGACAAGAGCGCAACAAACTCTTAAAATTGCGTCAAGTTTATGCAAGCTCTTGTTTGGCAAGACTTCTCGAATCATTCTGAACTGACCTATGATATATAAGTTTTAAAAGTGGGAAGTAAAGTATTCATTATTATATCTGTGCAAAAATTGTTCCATCTTTTAACTTTTATACCTTTCATTAGTCCATTCATGCATTCAATAACGTAACGAACTTTAGTTACTTTTCTGGTTTTATTCGCACCATCTGTGGAAAGTTGTGATGCTCGGCTTGGCTTGTATGCTGGCATATAGGCATTGAAGTCTTTACTTCTGAGGAAAGAGATACAATCTCTAAAGCCACGATCAAGTATAAAGAAATCGCCAGGTTGAAAGAAATTTTGAGCTTCGCTGTTGGTGCTCATGATATGCTTAAAATTGTCGCATCATTATCTGAAGCTGCAGCAGTGCAATATATGTCAAGTATTTAACCGTTGGCACAACACATAATCATGGATTTGACTAAGTTTCTGTTCTTCTGTTGTGACCAATCCCTACGTGTTAGATCTGAATTTAAACTCTTCTGATGGTAAAAGTATGTTCCATCTGCTATCACCACAAGATTATCAGGCTGTACATTGAAAAGAGCTGTGGAAAGGTACGTATTATTTTCAATAGCTTGTGCTCTTGATATATTGGCGATGATACATTATTCAAACATCGTCTGCTTATTTATGCTAAAATACATGTGCACAGAAAAAATCAGCTTGCTTCAGAAACTATTAGTTGATTTACTATTGGAACGGATATGAAAAATACAATTTTTACGAAAAATCTAGCTTTGGCTATTTTTTCGAACTTTTTTTGTAGACTATCGACTTACTCGTGATTAAATATATATGCACAGACAAAATCAGCTTGCTTCAGCGCTTATTTTGGATTTTAGCATTTTTGGCCTATATCTCAAAAACTATGCGTGCAATGAAAATTTAGAATGAATATTCGTAATAAGCACACAAATTTACACCGGAAAAAATATGTTCGAAAAAATTTAATTAGTAGGCCATTTTTGACATCCTCCTTTGCTTTGTTTTATTCTTATCACCTGATGCTCTATATTTTTACTCTTGTATGATATTCGTTTGAAATTTATCTCAAGTGCCAAAAATTATGATTCAGTCTATTCAATGGAAATTCTAGAGAAATAATTACACAATATAACTGTTTAATCAAGAATTTTATGTTGATTGTAATGCTTTAAAAGAAATAATTTCTAATTCAATGATCAAATTTTCTCAATAAATATGCATGTCAGTGAATAAAATCTTGATTGATTTCTTATGAAATGCACAAATAACAAATTTATTGAAATCTGTTTTTACCTTGCATTTATTATTCACAAACTGAACCCCAGTCATGAATGATCGTAAATTTATTTTCACTGAATGTAGATTCAATCCACATTTAAAGACTCAAATTTTTGGTGAAAAACCATTCCCAATGACCATAAAATTTTTTTTGAGTAACCGTTTAATTAATATTTACTGAAAAATTTTCGGAAATTTTCGTGGAATCTTTTTTTACTTCTTTTTTATCATTTAAAACAAATAATTCACATAATTGTGAATCATACAAACTTTTAGTAAATTTTGGTTAAAAAACTACTTACAAATCATAAATTATGATTCAGACTGGCAAAAATCAAATCTTGAAATGAAAATTTGAGAAAACAAAAAGATGTTACAAAAATAAAAAAACAAGACCTTTGATAAAGCGAATTTAAGTAGAGAATCTCCGTATTTTAAATAAGAATCTTTTATTCAAGAATCAGAAATTCGAGATTTAAGCACTTAATCATGTGGAAAGTTTATCTGAATAGAAAGGCTAGAATCATAGAGACTCGCAGCAGAATCAAACACTGGAGATTCATCAAGACTTAACCACTTACAATTTAATTCAGAACTTTAACTATTGTAGACTTTATTTATAGCTACATTAATCTTAGTTCTCTCTTTGTAGCCGAGTGGTTTAGAGGACAGTGCAGTGTCATGTAGGTCCTGGGTTCAAAACCCTATAAACTCAGGTAAATTTAATGTTGATGACGTCACTACATCTTTGATGATTCTTAACCTTAAGAATCTCAAATGTGGAATCTTAAATTTTTCATACGACTTGAGTCTTATATTATTCTTTAGAATCACAGGAAAAAACTTAATATAAATTGAATCGAATTTTACTCAAAAAGTAGTGTTTACTCAAATAAGAGTAAATTGTCCACTACGGAACGTTTTTCGACTCTTTTTTGAGTAAATAGTGTTCATTGACAATTGTCAATGAGAAAAAATAAAAAAATCTGGTTCCACATCTAAAAGTTAAGTTTGAGCTTTGAAAGCGATTTTATCAAAAACTTATGATCAGAGAAACTTTTTAAAGTAAACAGTTCCAGTTATTATGTCCCTGAAAGTTCATCAAGTCGAAACTCTTAACTCAAAAAGCAAAGTTTTGGCCCCTTTTGGGATATGATGTCGATTAATAAGGGATGTATAGACACCACGGTGAAAAAAGTGGTGGAAAAAGCCGATCCTGTAGCTGACAATCAATCGACATAAAAAAACTGTTAATAAAAACCATTTTCAGAATAAGAAATCCAAAATGTTGAAATCTTTAGATTTTGTCAAATTAATGATATTCATTTTGAAATGAAAAAACTCATTCTTTAAGCTAACAACTAAAAAAATTTCTAATTTTGTTACTAGGGTAAAGATTTTCAAGATTATTGACGATATCATCATTCATCATGACAATATTTTTAGTATGAACTTATGATTCTTACTCTTTGAGTGCATTTGACCTAGCAACCAGGACTGCTTGGATATTGTGCACAGAAATTGACTTGGAACTTGACAACTCAGCCAAAGATGTTGAAGCTGGATGGGCGAAGAATATTTAGAAAATGGTTAAGAATGAAAAATTCATTCTAGTCTGGTACTGTTTGATGATAAATTGATTGAATTGGTGAATCTCTATCACTTTTATAGCTTATGATAATATTCTACGCTTAGATATTGCGTATTTTTCAGCTTTGTATAGTGATTTCAAATTTTAATATGCTATCAATGGGATTGAATGACTAGCACACCGTAAAAGTGTCAAATCGTTGACCGATTTTTTGAAATAAATTGAACTGAAGAGCATTTCAATAACAGAATCATTTATTTGTTTTATTTGCAATTTTTTGACAATAGGAGTAAGAAACACAATTAATGGCTTGAGAAAAACTTAGTATCGATTGGCTCAACGTTGATTCCTTCCAAATTTATATTATTGAACAGAAGAAAATGTTGAGGGCATTTGTCTGTGAAGTTATTTAGCAGGAGCACAAGAGGCTTGGGTGATTTGTTCAGATTCAAGACAGGGTCTAACCCGAAATTATTGTAAGTACGCAATTCAGGGATTGCCTGTGTAAAATTGAAGACACAAGGAATCGGATGAATTTATAATTTTTAAATAGTTAATCTTGTATACATAAATTCAAAATGAAAACTTACATCAGGAGATACTTCACATGAACCAGCATAGGCAACTGATTTAGTACAATCAGTCTCACCAATCAAGAATTTAACTTCATAATTAACTCCAGCGACAACTTGACTTTTAGCTACTTTAATGGTAATCAGTTTCTTGTAATGAAAAATTCGGCAATATTGTTGTGGTGCTCAACACCTTTAGCAGCCAACTTAATAACCAGTTGGATCGTCAACAGAAATTTGACATTTGAATTGAATTGAAAAGAAAGCTACGAAATTGTGAATTTGGGTCTTTTCAATTGGATTTTTAATAAAGGATTTTAAATAAACTTTCAAATTGTGACCAAATCGTTTCTCGTCATCGATATAACAATCAATATGAAACCAATATAATCAGCACATGACAATCTTCATTCAATTCTAATGAAATTCACAAAAACAAGCTTATCTTGAATTGATTATTTATAGTTTGAAGAGTGTTATTCTTGATCGGCGATTCATACAAGTACGTAACCTGTGTCTAAAAATTTCTGGACAAGTTGAATAATTTGATTTATTTAATTAAATATTTGAAATTTCAAAGTAAATTTAGGGTCAATTTGAAGCTAAAGATTAGAGCTTTTCACGGATATAACTTAATCCTTGCTCGGAGGCTAAATCTACTTTCAGTTTAAGATTTTTCATGAGGTCTTTGAAATAGGTTTCTGGGAATTTTTTCACCATAGTTTTTATTCTTTTAATCAATTCTTTGGTGTTTTCAGCACAAAATCCATCAGCATAAACTTTAGATTTAAGGTGACTCCAAAAGGTTCACCTCCATTTCGCCACTAAAGCTTCTAAGCTTGATCTTTTTAATCGCTTTAAACTCACTTAACTTACGAAAAGGGGCAAAATTTTGTTTGAAATTTATTCACATTTAAATTAGTACAAAGATGATCAAGTAAATCTAATGAATTTCCAATAGCTTGCCGTATATACTCCTTACACCTTAATATGAGTTCAATTCATTTTTTTGTTAAAATTATATAAAATTCACAGTGAATTGATTTTTCTGTAGCTTCCCATACTATTAATGATTTCCATCTTAAATTAAATTGTGAAATTGAAACTAACAATATGTAAAAATAATTGAGCAAAATAAGGCTCTGAAAATGAGTTAAACCCCTCTCTAGCCTTAAGAAGATCATCTTGAAATCGTCTTTAGTGGCAAAATGAAGGTATACCACTCCAAAATACTTCAATTGGGCGAAGTTCAGGTACTGCAGGGGGATTAGATGACTTAGGAACAAAAGGAATCGAAAGTTCATCAAAAGCTGCAATTGTTCGGAGTGAGTAATGTGATGAAGCAAGATCAGGCCAGAAAATGAATCATTTGATAATTCATTATAATATTTATTAGCTATTGAGCGGGGAACACCACAATCACAAAATTTTCGAACAATTTCTGCTCTTTTACACTCTGAACTATGTATAGAAAAAATGTTTAAACATGCACTTTTCAACCCTCTCAAACTCATCATGAATAGAGACAGTGTTCATTGTCCGAAATTTTTTTCCTTTATATACATGATAGCTCATAGTGCCCTAAGCAATTCCTGAAAATTTTGAAATTATATTTAAACTAGTTTCCGAGAAAATCGCATTTATCTGAATTGTCTAGAAATTTTTAGACACAGGTTAGTAAGTTCTATAGAATATTGTATTTCATGCAATGAAATATTTATTTATGTAAATTAGGTTTTTTCGGTAACAATCAGTGCAATGAAAATTAAATTTTATTCGAATTTGAATATTATTGAGGGGAAAGGGACCAGTATTTACAATCTTTTTGGATTATTGGTCCAAATACATCGCTAGGAACGCCAACTTTATTAACCAACAAATCGTTCAGTTCAGCATATTTTTCATCACTCATGGTGTTAGTCCTTGATAAAACCCACCCGTATACTGAGATAATAAGTTGAATAATTATTAGTATTAATAAAAGTCAATTTAAATAAAAAGACATCTAGTTAACCAGCTCTAGTGATACTTACTTATGTTTGAATAACCAGGGATGTGAATACAACTGTAAGTAGCTAAATAGTTCTCGTAATCAGTATCGGCTACATAGAGAGTAACTTGATATGGAAGCCCTAGAAATCAATGAAAAATTATGATAGCTATTAATCTTAATGAAAAATAATATGTATATTGATCAATTGTTGAATTGTCAAGCATAATGTATCTTATAAAGCAGGCAAAAATTACTTACTTTTGGCCATATCATTGAGGTCGATTGAATTTTGACTACCAGTACGTATGGCCAACAATTGTTCAATATTCATTGAACCACTAGAAGATGGGTGAATAATGGCATTAAAAACAATTGAAATCATCTCAATTCAGCTTACTTACTCATGTTGAGTTCCAAGCATTGTAAAATTGAAGTCTCCATCCTCTCGAGGAGTGAAATCCTGTGTAAGACATGTAACTCTTTCTTGGGAGCCTCCCAGCTGCGATCCGGAAATTTCATACCATCGGCCGGCAATCTAGTTCAATCAAGCGCCTAATTAATGGATTAAGTCAAAACTAGCTAAACACATTATATCATTATGAACTTACTTTGCCAATATCAGCACCAGGAACAGTTGGAGGAACTGGACATTCACCAAGAGCTGAAGAAGCAACAGCAAAGACAACGAAGAGAGTGAAGATCATTTTCAAGGTTTTTGCATAAAAGGAAAAATTTAATGTCTTTTAATGAAACTTGTTGATTAACTGATGCGTATGTGTTTTATATCATCAGCTTTTATACTTTTTTTCATCAGTTTATCAAGTAATATCATTTTTATATCGAAATAAAAAATCTTATACATGTATTTACTATGAATTACCCAACAAGAATAATGCTTTCCAAACAATGAATAATGAAATCAGGGTAGAAAGATAAGTTTGTTATTTGTGAATTTCTTAAGAATAGAATGAAGATTATATCCACTATCATTCCATATTTAATGGAAATTTGATCATTTACTTGTAACTAAAATAATTTAAACCATTCATACGCAATAAAATTTCTGGTTAAACAGTTGAAATGCAACAAATAAATTCTGGTTAATTTTGGGTTTTCAGGTAAATGAATGGAGATTATGTTCACTTGAAACAAAATATTATTCACTTTATGTTGATTTCGCAGAAACGTTGGCTGTTACAGTAATAACAAGAAATCTTTTGGTCAAAATTATATGATATGCAGGACAAAATGAAAATTACTTCTGAAATGTTAAACAAAAGTCGAAAAATATTTAATGAAAACGCGGCATCCATTGTTGTATGAATAAAAGCATTTCATTTGTCTTTTAATAGAGCAGCAATGTAAACCCAAACAGACATGAGGTTACATGGATATGGATGTAAATAAACGGCCAAAGCAAAATCAACTTTACGATCTTCAATCAAATGTAATCCTGTTGCATAGACAGCTTCAGTAATGGCTTTTTCACTTGTATAAGGCATATTCAATGGAAATCCAATCATCTATAACATGAATTATTGATAAAATGAAAAATTAATTAATCATTCAAACTCATTATGAGCAATTACCTTGTGAACAGTTAGTATATCTTGCAACTCTGTGATCAGATCATTTTGTTGAAGCCGACCAAGTTTCTTTTCCAGTCTATTCGGAAGAGTAAAGTCAATGTCGAATCAAATTAATCAAGGCAGCTTCAATTAAAGCAGCATTAAATTATTTACCTTGGAAGTATTTTACGAATCTGTTGAATCGCTGTTCTATTGAAAAATGTTCGTGAATTCTTTCGCCATCTCATTAGACTTTCTCTTAGATTTTTTTCCAGGTTATTTTGCAACTGTTTAATGTATTCTTCATCAATTGGCTCATAATCAATCATTTCAGGCTGAAAAATGATAAACAATTAGCAGTTGATCTTTTTGAGAAGGGAAATAGTTGCCCTGAAACACAAGTCTTTACTCACCTGAATACTTGTAAGTCCTGGATTAGGAAATTTACGATTGAATAAGGGTTTCCAACAACTGGCTTTAGTCACATCATAATTCAACCTGTTTGGATGATCCTGCTTTTGAATGTTAGCATAAACCTGAAAATGATAAAATTGATTGCTTTCATTTCTTGGTTGGACCAAAATTTAAAGTAAAATTACATTTTCACTGGTGAATATGGTTCCGACTGCATTAAGCGGAATATAACTGTCTCTAATGTTATACTTTTCACCCGAAATCGGGTTCCAAACCGAAGGTTCTTGACCAGTGTACTCCCATACGATAACATAAGCAGTTAAACCTTCAGGAATACCAAATCCAAGGATGACTCCAGCTCTTTTGCCCAAGTAAAGGAAAAAGTTACACAAAAGAATCGCATGTTCCTCTTCATCACCAATCAACATGTCAAGGAATTGATCACAAGGAATCCAAATATCTTCAGTTCCAGGGACAGCAAAGTTATCTGGAATGGACGGAATCAGTGAGACAAAACGAGCTAATCTGTGCATTGCTTCGTCTGCTAATGATATGTTGGTTAATAGGCTTTCTGGTGGTTTGATTGGTCTTATGTATCGTGTAATTAAAACAAATTGAGCTTCCAAGTCAATGGCAAAGGCTCGAATTGCTCTTTCGGGGAATTCAGTTCGACCCAAAGATTCCCATTTCCTACCATGGATCAAGATTTTTTCAGATTCTTTCGAGTCACACTAACAAGAGACAAAAAATACAACAATTAGACAAGCTTAACATTAGCACTCGTTTTGGATTAGAAATTCAGTTTTTTCGAAAAATATGATTTACTTTGAGAGTTAATGGTTCAGGAAGCTGTAAGGTTGGATCAATTGTTAAGAATAGGGTTAAATAGGTGTTTGGTGTGGTAGAAACATCTGAACTGGAAAGGTGTTGATTAAGTTCAAAGAAACGAGAATCGTATTCATAGCCTAAGAGGACTGGCGGAGTATTTAGTTTGAATGTTCCCTCTATCTTGGAGTTGAAATATAACGTTGAAAATGGTATCTTCAATGATCCCAACCATCGTCTTTCCAACCTTTGCGATATAATTGCTCCTGATGTGTCATTAGAATTGATTGAAATTTCATCAAATAGATTGAGATAAACCCAGTCATTGATTGTGATCAAATTAGACGGACTGAAATCATCATTGGGTGCCCTGATGATAAAAAGCGGTTTTAAATGAATTTTTAAACTCAGATGCTATTATGGTTAATAAGAGCTAACCTGGTTGTTGCTAAAAAGACACAAATAACACAATTATCAAGTTTATACACAAATTGACAAGAATACACAAGTTTCTGCAAAACAAATGGTCAAAAACGGGTAAAAATAACAAAGTCTAAATTTTAATGAAGTTTAGTTTGTAGAGAATTAAAAACTGAGCCCGTTAGTGCTATTTAAAAGTTTCTCAAATGGACAGTTATCGATAAAATCGAGCCCAAAGTTTAAACTTCGACCTTATTTTGTACAATTATGGAAGCAGATTTTTTCATGAAATTCCTTTTGCTGATGAACATTTTGATGAAAAAACAGAAAATGAACTTTATTCGTGCAATAAAATTTTCTTTTTTCTGTAAAACAGATCAGTTCAATTTTAAATTAAACGTGTCGCATTCTGTGACCATAATACTTAGAGAGATGAAACTTATTTTTGGTCCATAAAAACTATTTGTACACATCATGTATCAACTCACTTTTCCGATCTATCAACAGTTCTCTCGATATTGGCCATTAACCTAAAAAGTTCGAGACTCAATATTTCGAGAATGGAATCACCTACAACTACCATTCTTTGACCAAACATTAGATTGTACTATGGGCTATAACATAGAATGGCTGAATACCTAAGAAAATCTGAGCTGTTTCATATAATAATGAATATCCTCATAACTGATAAGAAACATCATTTATCTTTATAAACTAAACTCAAATTTGACCACATAAGTAACACAGGGCTATAACTTTTTTTGTAGCATTTTGAATGACTCATTATTCGAGTAAATAAAAGCTTTTAATAAGCTTTAATGTTTGGTCGAAGAATGGTAATTGTAAATGATTTCATTCTCGAAATATTTAGTCTCGAACTTTTTAGGTTAATGGCCAATATCGCGAGAACTGTTGATAGATCGGAAGAGTTATTTGATACATGAGGTGTACAAATAGTTTTTATCGACCAAAAATAAGTTTCATCTCTCTAAGTATTATGGTCACAGAATGCGACACGTTTAATCGAAAATTGAACTGATCTGTTTTATCGAAAATATAAGGGTTTAGTTCACAAAATAAGTCCATCTTCTGGTGCACCAGCAAAATGTACATCAGCAAAAGAAATTTCATGAAAAAATGAGCTTCCATTATTGTACAAAATAAGGTCGAAGTTTCAACTTTGGGCTCGATTTTATCGATAACTGTCCATTTGAGAAACTTTTAAATAACCCTACCGGACTCAGTTTTCATTTCTCTACAAACGAACAGCGTCCAAAATTGAAAAAAGTTTATTTTTACCTGTTTTTGACCATTTGTTTTGCAGTAACTCTGTCAAGTTGTGCATAAATGTGTTATTTGTGTCTTTTTAGCAACAAACATCAAACTTACTTCAAAGCAAGGGAAAGAGTTTCGTTCCAAGTAGGTTGAGCGCCATATGCAGTGTTGGTCCTTTCAATTTGACGTTGAAAAACAACCTCAACAAATGGACTTACACGGCTTTCATAAGTTAACTCTGTATATGCATAAGATATCAAATCAATTGTTTAAATTAAGATCAAAATTGATGCAAATTACACTAACAAATGCTATTACCTCCAAGTTCAGAGTTTAGTTTATCACGCCTATTCTCGGACTCTTCTGAAGTTTGGGCCCCATTTTCAATTCTAACAGGAACATTGAAAGCGTGCATGATTGTGATTATAAGTTGAACTTGCGAGTTGCCTGATAATGGGCCAGATATCTTTTTCCGTTCCTTTCGTGTTGGATGTAAAGGACGGCGATTATGTGAAGGCAAGAAGAAATGAAAACCAAGATCTCTGATAAAATAAGTGAAAATTAGTTGATCGTAAACCAATAAACTCAAAGAAAAGAGTATTTACTTACATTCCATGAGAATCTGGCTCAGAAACAATATCATCCCAAGTCCTTGGTCTATCAATACAGCCTTCGGATTGATTCATCAGTTTGCTTCGAATTTTGAATAGTACTGCTAAAGCCTTTTCTCGTTTGGCTTCAATCCCTTTAGCCGATCGAACAGATGAATCTCTAGTTCCATTTGTATCTGAAAATATCGTTAAAGGTATTTCTCTTTCTAATAAAGGAACAGGAATCCCATTGAATTTATCGTGTTTACTGGCTCGTAGTTTGATCAATTTGAATCTAGGATTGTTCTCGATTTCCTTCTCATCCACGAATTGAATACTTTTTAGCAATACTCTGCTTGAAAATGATTCAACCTCGCCATCCTTTTGAGATGTGCCATTTTGAAACATTTGCTCATATTTACGGATAGCTTTCAATAGTTTTATGTTATCTGGATCATTGGGATCCAACATTAAAGCAGTTTTATCTCTAATCCTATTGATTTCCTCAGCCGAAAAAGAATCAATATTGATGTTAGTGTGCGATAATGAGACTGAAGCTGGAGCTAAAATGGTTCCTGAATCATCAATTGACCAGGCTGAGCTGTAAAATAAATTTCCTGAACAAATTACTGTCGATTCACCAGATAAAACTTGAAAAGGTTCTTCATTCAATGTTAAAGTATCTTCTCTTGGCAATGTAACTGCATCAGGCCAAGGAAGGATGCCGCTGGTTAATCGAGTCAACTTAGCGGGTCCTTTCTTTTCCCATACACTGTAAGTCATCTCTTTAGGTTCCTCTGTTAGGTCAACAATGAACCTTTGATCCCAAGTAACAACGAAATTGTAGTCAACTTCTTGTTCAATTGTCTTGGTTCGATTTGAGCCATTAAGCTTAACTTCGACGAAATACTTTAAATTTTTCATTAGTGAACGACGTTTTTGCTCATAAGCAGGACAATCAGGTCCAGAAGATAGAGGAGTGTCGAAAGAAAGCGTTAATTCGGTAAACTTGGGTTCACCAGGAACTCGACCATCCAACAGTAAAGTTTCCGCAGAAATTTGTTGCTTCAATTCATTCTCATCAATTGATTTAGGTGGTGGCTCAGGTTTGACTTTTTCTGGGGTTGAAGTAGGATTCTTTAAGGAAGCATCAAGATTTGAACTACTGGCTTCTTCAATCATGTCATCGTCTTCATGTTTAGGAGACCTACGAACTGACCTTTGCCAGCTTTTCCAAGACCTTAAATCTCTTCGGTAATCAGCTAATGCCCGTGCATATGTTTCTTTAACCATTGACCATTGAATTTTGAAATCCTCTTCAACTAAATTGTTCCAAATTTTCCTTTCTTCTTCTTCAGACAATTGATTGGCCTCTTCCTTGTAGGTCAACTTTACTGTTGTTGATGAAAATTCTTGATTACGCCTTTTATCAACCAACTCTTCCCATGTGCTTAAAAGTTCAAGTAAAATAGATCTCAGTTGAGTTAACGCTTTCCTCCGAGCAATGAATGTCTCACTCAGTTGTCGACGATAGTTGATTAAACGCTCCAACCGCTGATTCGGTTGTTGGCCATTATCTTCAGACTCTTTGTCTGTAACATTTGCAAGCGATATTTTAAGCGATTCAATCTTTCTGTTCAATAATGTTATTGTTCCTTCAGTCAAAGTTTCCCTGTAATTGCGATATAATTTCAGCAATTTCGCAGCTAGAATATTTTCATCGCCAAATGCCAGATGATTGGTAAACTGAATAGAATGTAAATTGAATTCGATTCGATACTTGACAGTCTTTTCTTTGTTAAATGATTCAATGAATTTATGTTTAGACATGGTGGGCTGAAGAGTGTATAAATCGGTGCTGCTTGAGGTCAGTTCAGGAGAAGAGACGATTTTCAAAGTATCAAAAAATGTAATCCAAACTGTAAAATATGTCCAAAGTAAATCAAATAAAGTACGGAATCGTCCTTGGAACCAAGCCAATCCAGAGTCACGATATAACCTCTGGTAAAGCTTATTTATATTCCGCTGAGATAATGTTTTAGGTGCTGGTTGACAGTAGAGACCATCATTTCTTGGATTGTAACCTTCACCACGACCAAATCTAATATGATCTGGAATTGGATCGTTAGAAGTGATTGTTAATAATTGAGCTTCTTTTTCTCGGCGTAGACTGGTCGATCTTATTTCCACTTCTGACCTTTCACACAAATGCAATTCTTCAGTTGAAGCAAACAATTGTTTAACTAACAATTTTCCACTTGCAGAGTCATCAGAGTTTATGGTTATAGTGTCATCATGTTTCAATTTTTGATCACTAATCACTGTTCCGTCATCTCCATCATCATAGTTTGAAGATGTCGATGGTTCATTGACAATTGATCCGTCTTTGGTTGTTTTAGATGATGACTTAAAAGATGAAGCAAAAAAGTCGTAACTTTGATCAGGTGAAGGATAAGTAAGATTACCCGATGATTTAGATCCGTGATCGAGTAATGTGGCCAAAGATGTTTGCCAATCTTTTCGACCTTTTAATCGAGCCTCAATCAAGTTACTTAAGTCACTAACTCCTTCTATTTGTCTTGTTGGTAACGGTGTTTTGGTGACGGACTCTTTCACTGTTTTTATCCTGGATCTTATTCGAGTTCGAAAAGCAGCTGATATTGTTTGATCTAAAAGTGGTGTGCCGGTTCGACTTCCACCTCCAAAGGTTGCGGTACTTGATCTTGATGCTGTTGGTGAATCACCATCACCGTTGATTGTAGCATGAGTGTCTATTCGAAGAGGTTCAATTGTTGAAACTTCTTGTTCATTTAAATAATCATCACCAAATGAAGCCTTCTTGTTGGGTCGACGATTTGTAGATGAAGTGGGTCGGGTTGCTGCGGGTATTGATAATAAATCATCACTTTTATCAGATGACCGAAGGGATTTGTTTGACCTGATATTATCCAATTTTTTGGTTGGTCGATGACCAGAAACTATTTCAGATGATTCTTCTGAACTTGAATCCATGGATGAAACAAAGTATAAGAATGCTTTTCATTTAAAAAATTATGAGAATTTATTTTAATTGCAGAATATCAAAATGACTTTTTAAAATTTAATTTCACTCAAAAAATTGGAGATTACAAGAATCAGTTTCAATAACAATGTTGTTATGGAGACCGTTAGTGTATTGAATTAGAAACAAACAAAATACAAGCTTCAGATCTTTTAGGGAATACAATAATTTATAGAAATCAGATTTCTTAAGAAAATTACAAAATGATTCGAGAAATTGGCTGAACAACATCATGAAAATGTGAAATAATTTCATTCAGTCAACTTTACAAAGCTAAATTGTAAAGAATTGTCAAGGCAAGAAAGAAACCAGCAAAACATCAAAAACATGAAGCCTTCCGATGACAATTCTAGATAGCCCTACTTCGATAGACAAAATCCAAATTAGTTGTGACCAAAATGAACCATAATTAAATAACCATGTAATGTAAACTGCTCGAGAAGCATGAATGCATAAGGCATAGAATAATCCAACGAAGCAACAATCAATTGGCCATCTTAATTGGGATATACGTCGACCAACTGCAGCCTTTACAATAGCAACTGTTAGGAAATCGAGAAACAGGCCAGCGTATAGCTACGCTGATGGATTACTTGACGGCCAAAGGTGAATGGAAATGATTACGCCAACAAACCAAGGTATTCCAGGACATGATCACTCCAAAGTTGATAACAAATGTTGGCATCTATCCCATTTAGGATAGTTTTTATCCACTGATTTACTTAACTTAATGTCAAATCCATTTTATTAATCCATATTAAATTTGAAACAATGTTAATAATAGTTAAAAACGAAGACACATTATTCAGGTTTGATCAATTATTGACTGAAGCTTATGATTCAATCATGATGAGAAATTACATCAACATAACTTGTTGGTAAAGCCTATTTTTACACAGGAGTTATCTCCTTGGATTCAATACTTTGATAGATGATACTTGATTTCATTGGATGAACAGCTTCTGGCGGTAGTTTTGTTTTGTACTTTCGTTGGTGATAATCACAATTATATCTAGAATTACTGATTTAATAACAATAATTATATGAGAAATGAGAAATTGAAGAGAGTTTTCAGTTAATATTTGTATTTTCCTTTGATCAACTTCCTCCTGTTTGAGCAAACTTTCAGTTTTTCACACTAACACTGAATTTTAAACACACAGATTAAATTATACCATTTATTAGATTAATATGGTTAAATAACGATTAACTTTTAAACCTGTGTCACATATAATGTCCAATTAATTAAAAAAAAACTAAAATAGCTCTAATTAAACTCTAAATGAGAGCTCAACATGAGATGGTACAAGAAAAGCACTTCGAGTAAAAATAGTCTCGGAGCCTAATTTTACAATGAAAAAGTACAAATAGCGATTTCCTAACTTGTTGGTAACAATTTGTACAGCGGTTAATTAGTCAGTTTTTGAAAAGTTCAATCATATGTTTGGTTACTAAGCAACAAAGAAGCTTGATTGAATCAAGATTTTTTATTCAATTTTATTGTGTCCATACAATGTTGCGTCAAATAATTTGCATTTGTGCAACTGCAAATTCGGTTGATCAATACCGTTTCATCGCATTTTGTTCAAAGCCTAAACTTTGATGATATTTAAAGTTATGTGTTATTTAGTTATTAAAATTACTTTTTTCGGACAAACAGAAGCTTTCCTTCCATTAATACAATAAATATCTGATTGGTATCCGATGGTCATGATAAGTGAGAATACTTTCAGAAAAAGATTACAAAAGTTTGTGAAAAATTGATAGGTTATACCTCAATCTGCTAAAATTGTTCAGAAATATTTATACAGGTCGAATTTCAATCAAAACCTTTCGGAAATAATGATTATTGAAACTTCAATAATCAAAACTAAATATTCTCAATAAAATTCTGTTTATTGATCAGGATCGAGTAGAATAGGTAAACGATTATGATTTCTGAGAAAACAGTATTTCATGAAATCAAATCCACGACCGATTCGTACACGTTTGGCTGATAGCTGAGGCCATTTCTTTGTTATTTTAGGCCATTTTTGGTAGTAAAATGATATTGAACGATTATGACGTCCACAGTACTGATCAATATATTCAGTTGACTTTTCGGTTACTTTGCGCGAGTATCTGATGTCAATAAGGATAATACGAGGAAGTAGCTCTAAAAGTTCGGGAATATTTCTATCAGATATTGCTTCGCCTCCTCTGACCGCCAAATGCTTCAAATTTGGGTACTTGCTCAATATGCGTCTTAAAACTGACCAGTTTTGATTTTCATGCTGTCATGTTAAAAAGGAAAACAAAAAACGTTGTAGAATCTGAGTTTAAATTTTCAAAAATACTAACAAATTGAAGAACCAAATCTTCCAAGAAATGATTTTTGATTCCACTGTTGACATGAAAATCTTGATCAGTTTGAATATAATGAAAGGCACTTTTCAAATGTGGACAGTGATCTGCGAGGCTGAATCCATGATAATGCTCTAGTTCCCCGTATAGATCAAGATAAAAACATATTTCTAAAATCTCAAGTTTTTCAAGAACAGGTCCAACATAAAATTCGTCATCAAAAGGGGAACCTGTTTCATAAACAAGAAGATATGAATACATTGTAAGATGATAGTCAAATAAACCAAGAAAATGAATAGCTTACGATCGTATCTTTCAATGTGAAGTCGTTGCAAATTCGGAAAATATCTAGCACAACTGGCAAATTCAGAAACAATACTGGTTACGAATAATTGTTTCATTTTTGGTCCTTGGATCTCATTGGCGAAAAAATTAGAGACTTCTTTTATCGCTAACATTTCAAGCGATGAATTATGACAAATAACATCTTCCAAATCAATAAAATAGTCACATTTAAATTGAAGTCCTTTGACTTCTACGTTTGAGATGAAATCATTATCAAGTGTTCTTTCAACATCTAATATCTAGAGAAAGATAAACTTAATTATTTGCATTTAATGTGATTTGCATAATATTGTAATTTGGCTTTGATTATTTACATGATGATCAATATTACTTTTCAACTTGTTAATCAATGCTTCCTCAAATTGTTTTTACTTCTTATCAATCGTACTAGTACTGAAAATGAAAGGTTGATCAAATGTAAGGATGATTTGTATTCATTTCATTTGCTATTTGTGGATAGGGATATACCTTTGTCGAGCTGTTCAAGAAGAAATATTCTTTATCCTTATCCTCATTTCCTCGAATCGTAAATTTGACGAATTTATAATCGAATAGCGAATTGATAATTCAATTCCAGTTTCTAGTCAAATTGTAAGAAATGGTTCAATTTGATAGTTTTTCATCTCAACGTTGATCTTTTCAATTTGACAAAATTGAAGATTGGGTTTTGGGTTTTTTAATTTTATGTTGCTGACTCTATTACCATCATATTTATCATGATATTAACCAACCTTGAGTCTAGGAAACCATTTTAATTGTTCCAATCGCTCTAATTCATCATCCTTAAAGAACATGGTATAACTAGCAGGATAAGCATCCTTTTCCAATGAATCTTTATCGAAATAAGGAGTTAATTACTATCATCTTTATTGGTTAATAACAAATTTTTCGTTCATATTAAAGTTTTAACTCACCTGTTAAGTATTTAACATTGTGTAATCTTTCGAGAACCAAGTATTTCCATCTCTCACAGACTGTTGATAGATTGAAGACAATTGTTAGGGTTTTCAAAGTATAATAAACAATGAAATTGAGAGGAAATCTATATTTACCTGCAGCACAATTGAGAAGAGTCCCAAATGTATTGAAAAGATTGAAAATATATAATAAGCATTCATCAGGCAACTTATCGATATTCATTTCATCAATTTAAAAGACAATGTAAAAAGATGTAGTTTGTAGTTGTAAAAAGTCCAAATGTCAAAGAATTGTTTGTGATGAACAGTTTATTGTGAATCAAGCAACAGACTTTACACGTAAATATCAGATAATTGTATGAGTGTGAATAGCTTATTCCTACGACTCACAAAGCTGGTTACCAGAGTAATGTTAACTATATAATAAGGTTAACTTAATAATGATCTTAATTCAATCTAACTATGCTTTAATTTAAATTTTAGTAAAAAATAAAAACATGTAACTGAATTAAACATTGATTTGTTGTTTTGCTTCTATTCGCCATTATTTGCCTTTTACTAGATATTTTATTGATCTTTTCTCTCACAAGAAAAAAGCTCCGCTTTACGCAGAGAGCCATTAACATAAACGAGGACAGAGGTCTGAGCACAGAGCCCAGTTCGGCAAGGGTAAATTAGTTTGTCGCTTTTGGACATACAAGTTATTAAAGTAACAATTTGTACAGCGGTTAATTAGCCAGCTTTTGAAAAGTTCAATCATATGTTTGGTTGCTAAGCAACGAAGAAGCTTGATTGAATCAAGATTTTTTATTCAATTTTATTCAATCAGTATTATTATTGTTTGATTTCATTTCAGTACATTTGAATCTTTGTCTTTACGGGTTTTTCGTGATTCTACATGTATGGCTTAGTGATTTAAATACCAGATGTGTCATTAGGTTGTCATTATACTAGCAAGGTAAGTTCACATTTGCTTAACATAAGATTTCGATCCACATTAAATTCATTAGATTTGGTTAAATCCACTTTTGATTTATCCGTTTGGATTAGCCGGTCTGTTTTTTCGAGTTCAATTTCTAGCAATCAACTCTAATTCAGAACTCTTTATTTCTTTGTCTTTGTCAACAGGACTGTGATCATACGATGCATAATGTAAAATTACTTGTTCACCACTTTCTCAGTCTAGTTTCTGGTACTTTGGCGCTATTTATTTTAAATCCATGGCGAGAAGCATCTCTAGCTGAACGAATTCCCCTGGTCTCATGTTTTCTTCTCATTTTTGAGCCGCTCAAGGTTCTTTTTATTGGCTATATTGGATACAGAGGCAGAGGACGAGCGCCATTTTCCGTTTTGTGGGAAAAAGTGAGTGTCAACAACTTGGTTGATTAAAAGATCATTGTCGCAGGTTTAATAATTATCTTTTTTTCTTAAAATTAGAGTTATGTGTCCAAGAATTTAAATCGTATTGGATTAAATCTTCTTTTTATCTCTTTAATTATTGTTCTAATAATTTTATGTTTAGGAGCTCCATTATTAAGGTATGTTATTTCAATATGTATGATAATTTCATGTAAATTACAATTTTGTTTTCTTGTTTATACTTTATCGCAGTGAATTAGATCAAACTTTCTTCTTGGCTCTCTGCATTACATTCACATCTGTTCTACCAATACTCATCACTGATCCATCTTTGCCATTATCCTCTTCAATCTTAAGGATTATCAATTTTTTGTTCAATCCAGCGGCCAGATTTAATCAATGGGACTCTAGTTTTGCCGTGAATCTCAGACTAGTTGCTATATTTGCCTGGTTTGGGGCTTTTCTTCTCAAACTCGATTGGATTGTTTCGTGGAAAGTTTATCCTATTACATCGATCATGACCTCTCTTTATGGGTACTTGATTGCAAGCCTTTTCAATCTATGCAGGATCTCAGTCAGATTTTAGTCATTTAAGATGCCAATGAAACTATGGAGCATCTAAATAATGTTCCGTAGTGTAGTTTTATACGAAAATGTAAATCACTTCTTGATATAGTCAATTTAACAGAGCTGAATTACTGTCTACTAAACGTCTCTTCAATTACCAATGATTTCAGAAACTTTGTACAGAAATAATGTTATGAACTAAAACAAAATGCTTTAACATTTTACATTAAAATCTTTTATGTTTCATCAATTTTTCGGAGTCTTACAATTTTCAGCAAAAAGCAAAGAGACGGATGCAAGGAAATATAGGATCCCATAAATCAGCATAATCAGGAAGATGAAGATATAGACAGGTATTTATCAAACTATCAATTGTTTGTGAATTATGTTTATTAGAAGCACGCAACAATTTGTAATATTATTGTACTTTTTCCATAAGTCCGCATAATAAGGAAAATGATGGAGACAAGATGAAAGTCAGTCAATTAAATGACACTAAAGATGCAACTGGTTAAAAGGGTCATTAATTTGGACTCCAGAAAAGGCAAGGTGAAGATATTTTTGGATGACCCTGTCTTTATTTTGTTTTGTCATCGCGATTGTTTAATTATGACATGTGGAAGTGTAGATATAAGTGGGTAAAACAAGAGTGGGCTAGTTAAGGTGAATTAATGGGATCGAGATGAGGACATTTTGGACGTCATCAAAATAATATTAATGAAATAGATGCAGGCTGTCCATTCAATCGCTACATTGTACAAACAATTGACCATATTTGTTTATTAGACTCCTAAGAGCGATTTGATCAACATCTTTTCTCTAGTATTAAATATTTTTACACAATATATATATTGGTCAGTTATATCACAGCCAACAGTGTGTATCTACCTTTAATCATGATTAGTCAAGTTAAAATTACAACTTTAGGAATTATCTTAGTGTCCATTATCCAAATTTGGCTTCCAAATGTAGCAGGTAAACAAATCTCTAAGTTTACTCTTAAATCTAATTTCTTTTAATAAGTGATTTGTAAAGTTAATTTTTTTGCTTAATTTTTATTCCTATCGACTTCAAAGGTCATAAGATACATTTATCAGATGGTACACTTAAATTAATCATTCGTAGTTATGTAAACGATTTACTTACAAAATATCAGCCAGATCCAAATCTGCGATCCCATCTTCATAAAATGAGGTAAGAAAATGTCCATGAAATTTTCGTTAAATTCTGATTGTTATTCCTTCATCTTCTTTAATTAACTTGTTAATTTACAGCTCTCATGTTGTTAATCACCCTGCATTGTATCAAAAACGTTTGTATATTGGATCTGAGCCTCCAACACATGATCCAGAAATTGTAAGTTAAATCCATTCATTTAATATAATTTTATTTTGGTGATATTTTCATTATTTACTTACTAAATTTACTGCTACATGATTATTTTATTTGATTATTTACAATTAGGAAGATGATCAATCATCAATGATGGTGATGAAACGAAAAGTACCTAAAGAAGAAACCCCAACCGAACAGTTTCCATCTGAAGAAATATGTCCGACTAATAGACAATGGGAACAAATCAACAAGACTCATGATTTATACGATAATGAAGTTGAAGTTATTCAAGAAGAAGGAATGACTCAATTTATTTATACATATCGATGTTCATCTAATAAAGGTAATTGTTACATAAACACAGTTAACATCATTTAAGGCTTAATATGAATGAATTTGTTTGCTATTTCAGCCTCATCGTGTGTTGGTATTTCGCCATTGTACAATAGCGAATGTACAGAGCGTAATGGATGGGTTTACATGTTGCACAAGAAGCCTGGTGATGAAGCACCTCAATGGGGTTATGTTGCCGCTCCACATCATTGTGCTTGTAAAATACAACCCAAACTGGAAGTAACTGTACCATCAAGTGAACGTTGAAGTCTTTAATCATTGAATCAATTGTTCCAATCCAGTCTTCCTTGGATTCATCATCATTCTCAAATATATTTGATTCAATTCAAATTTGTGTTTCTGTTTCCAATATTGCAAAAATTTCACGCAAAAAAGTTTCTTTTCAATCATCATTCAAATTGGTTATAAAATATGATTTAAATCAATTTAAACCAAACTATCATCAACTAAACCAAGCATCATCCGAACCAGAGTTACAGGTTCAAAAACATTGAATTATCTGTCTATTAAGAAGGCAATAGCCAAGTATTACAAATCGGAATATAATTCTTATTGTAATCCAAACATTAAAATCTGCATAAAGAAATTAAAAATCAAGTCCGACTCTATTCATGATATCTCTTTTAATCATATTTTTCATTGTCAAATGAGAATTAATAAAATGATTGAATAAAAAAAATCCGATGACTTAATTCAAATCAAACTTCTAATTAAACTTAAAGTAAAGATTTTCTAGATTATATCGATGGAAAGTTGAAAACACATTGTAATTAGTTCAGTGATCTGTTTTTAGTAGATTACTGATCCAAGATTGTATGAACAGTTTGATAGAAGTGAGAAAAGGATCAGAATTAATCTATCCAGATAAAACTCAATCCTATCCTAAAATAACCATTTGAACATTTCGAATTGAGCATGTTCCATCAGCTGTTGATAAATTCAAGAAACCATGTTGAAGATGATGAAAGTAATATCAATGGAAACGATAAAACTAAGCCAATCTTAATAATCATTGTTAAGTATTGCTCCATCAATTAATTGATAATTTTTATGCTGCATCCACATGTTTGGTACTTTAGCCAACTCTAACCTTTTCACTTCAGGTGGAGCCATGTAACTGTATCAGTGCAACTGTATCTTTAGATGCAGTGTCAACTCAACATTCAAATAAAACACTTAATCTTAAAGGCTGCTCTTTTAATGCCTTATTTTTGTTATTAAATGGTTATTGAATTATATGAATCAATAGATCATCATGTCTTCAGTAATCATGATGCCCTTTCACTTATAATGCCTTCTATCCATTTTCATAGTGGCCTTTCTTAGTGAAAACCTGTTATTTATGGATCTTCTGGTTCGAGTATCTTTTGGCTTTTTTCCATTGTCCAATGTTTTTTAATGTGTACATCAAATTATAACACAAAATCAACAATTATTTTCTTGTTTACTAGTTCGTGTAAATCTTTTAATATTTTCAAGTGTAAAAATTATACTCACGGACCATAAAATGGTAACTCAACAAGGAACCATTTTCAAAAAGTCATCATACGATCAAGCTAGCAGTTTATCAAAATTATTTTTCTAGTAAGTATTGTGTTCAACCAATTCTTTAATTCTCATAATTACTGTTGTATTTTTCCTGGCCATTACATTCCTGTATCTAAACCTGTCTGAATGTCTGTGGCCAAATGCATGTAAAGTATTTTAATTCTAGCTTTTAATTTTTTGTTTTGTTTTTCTTTCAAGCTGGCTGCTTAGTTTTTATCTGGAATTCCAAAAGAAGCGAATAAAAACAAATGATCTTGAGCAATGTCCAAAGTATGATCAATCAGAAAGGATCGGAGAGAAACTTGAGGAGTAAGTATCATTGGATTCGAATTCATTAGTAGTTAATGATTTGCTAGTTGGTAGCTCCTTAATCAATCCTAAACAAACTTTTCACCAGAAAAATTGATCTCGGTTTCCATGTTAATTTTCTATTTCTTTGTTTACTGATTTCAATTCATGATAACTGTTAACTTTTGTTCCCTTGAAATTACCTCTAAAAATACATTTTTTCTCTGTAGGCAATGGAACGAAGAGCTTAAAAAATTGAAGACTGGTGGTCGACCTAGCCTAGGATGGGCAATAATCAGAACAATTGGTTGGCATTACTCATTCACCTTTATTCTGCTTTTCAGTTCGGTAAGAAGATTTGTGAAAACACTCTAAATTCTTTATACCAAGTGCGTTTGTACCATTATGTGTCTAATTGTATGGTTGTTCAATAATACTTGTACAATTGTATAATTAAACCTCACTCTTATGATTCACTTGATTTCTGCGATTATTTTGCGATTATCTGTGATACCTATTACTTATGTATTAAGAGTGGAAGTTTAATGTTATTTTTTACTCAATTACATTATCTGTTTTCAGAGTGACTTATTGCTGTTACTATTAGATTGGTTATTTGTCAACTTTGCTATACTGGATTCTTTATCTTCGCCTTTATCAGGCCTTGTCAAGTCTACCTTTCAATGAGGCTTCTAATAACCATCAATTAGCTTCAATATTGATTTTCCTTGTTGAATAGTCCGATCTCTGTTTGAGAGCATCTCTCATTGCTATTATCACAAATCGATTTGTTTTACACTCACTTTAATCAGCTCGATATTGAGTTACATATGAAGTCAGTCTTTTTCATTCATTAATACACTCCACTATTGATTTTCCATGTTTGAGTTCTATTAGTGGTTTTTATTAATCTGACCTTTGTCAATCGCAGTGTTAGTTATGACTTTTGTAAGCTTAATTAATGATCGATGAAGCTGAAATTAAAAGCTTTCAGTTTACTTTATTATGATACTATTTTTTGTCTTTAAATTGATTAGATATTTTTCGAGATTAGATCTGGTTAATTGATTATCCTAAATGAACAATCTCTTGAGTTGCATTTTTGCCTGATCAAGAGCACACTCCATTCTATTCCCTTATTTCTCATAAACTTTCTTCTGTCTCTTAAACTCAGAGTATGGCCCGTCTAGCACAGACTGTTTGCATGGGTTACCTGATAGAGGCGTTGTACCAATATAATATGGAAAAAGATCATTCATACGAAATTCGCCGGAATATTTATCTAACCGCTGCTGGTGTTGTTGGTACACAATTTTTTCATCCTTACGTTTCCAATATGTACTGGTTTTTAGCGCGTAAATGTGGCATTGATATAAGAGTCGCTTGTAGTCGTTTAATTTATCAAAAATCTTTACGTTTATCTCAAGCATCTCTTGGAGAAACAACTGTTGGTCAGATAGTTAATTTACTTTCAAGTGATGTTTCACGTTTCGATCTTGCTTCAGAGTTTCCCTTCTTTTTGATTCAAGGCCCTCTTGAAGTCATTATTTGTATAATCATTTTATGGCCAATGCTTAATATTTCAGCTATAATTGGACTTTTAGTCCTTTTCTTATACATCCCGTTTCAAACACTAATGGGCAAAGCTTTTGGAGCTCTTCGAGAAAAAGGCGCATTCCTAACTGACGATCGTATTCGATTAATGAATGAATTCATTCCAGCCATGAGAGTTATCAAGATGTATGCATGGGAAAAGCCTTTGACATTATTGGTTGATTCTGCTCGTAAACGAGAAGTATCAAAGATTCGCTGTGCAGCCTATCTAAGAGGTCTAAATCTTGGTCTCGGAACAATCGCTGAAAAATTGATTATGTTCTTAACTCTTGTATCGTTTGTACTGTTTGGTAATCAATTAAGTGCTCGAACCGTGTTCGTTGCAATGTCTCTTATAAGACAGCTTCAAAATACAATTACACTCTTCATTCCGCTAGGAATCTCCACTGGAGCTGAATCCTTAATCGCTATCAAACGAATAAGAGACTTTCTACTTTTGCCTGAATGTGAATCATCTGGTAACCTGAGTAGAGGTCTTGGCGGGGCTGGTATTAAGAAGTCAAAAGTTTCTTATACCGATGTAACACTATCGTGGCGTGATGACAAAGAGCCATTATTGAAAAATATTTCCTTTGATGCATCACCAGGAAAATTGATTGCCATTGTTGGTCCTGTAGGATCTGGTAAATCATCAATATTGATGTCAATTTTAGGCGAAATCACCGCAAAAGCTGGTAAAGCTGAGGTACTTGGTTCAGTATCTTATGCTTGTCAACAATCATGGATATTCGCAGGTTAGTATTTAGTTGTAGAAACATGTTTGGATTGTATATATGATTGAGTCTAATGAATTTTTATTTTTTCAGGAACCGTTAGAGATAACATTTTATTTGGAAATGAGTTTGAAGCATCAAGATACAAGCGAGTAATTTTTGTCTCTGCTTTGGAACGAGATTTACAAATTCTTCCATCTGGTGATCAAACTATTGTTGGTGATCGTGGTGCATCACTCAGTGGAGGTCAAAAAGCACGAATAAACTTGGCGCGAGCTCTTTACGCTAGAGCTGATATTTACCTTTTAGACGATCCATTGTCTGCTGTTGACGCTCCTGTTGCCAAACATATTTTTGAAAACAGTATCAAAGACTTTTTATCAAACAAAATAGCCATTTTAGTTACTCATCAATTGCAATTCATGAAATCCGCTGATTCTATTTTACTTATACGTAATGGTGAACAAGTTTGTTTTGGTGATTATATGGAGTTGCTAAATAAAGGCTCAGATTTCATCAAATACAGTCAAGTTCTGGAAGTAGAGCACAAAGTTTCAGAGACTCCTGACAAGACTCCCAAGATTATCGGCTTATCTTCATCAATATCCAATCTTCGACCAAGAGCATCATCTCTTATTAAACCAGATGTTTGTGGCAGTACAGCCTCAGTTTGTACTGAAAGCAGTCTCTGTTACTCAGATGAGTTATCGAAAGTTGAAAATTTACCTATTGAAGCTGATGAAGATGGTCCAGGTGTCCACGAATTGGCAGGTATCAAAGTCAGCAAGCATCTTTTATGGACGTATATTTGTGCTGGAATTAGTCTGATCCTTTTCCCATTTTGGGTGCTTTATATATTGGGAGCTGGGCTTCTAATTAGTTTTGTTGAATACTATTTTTCACTTTGGGCTGATTCTGCCGAGAGAAAAGGTCGTTTCCTTGCTGAACAAACAGCTCAACCCAATGCTACTTTTGAGCATACAAATTTTGTTGATGATTTGTCACAAAATGATAATATCGTCTTCTTTTCTTGTATAACTGTTGTTTTATTTTGTTGGTGCTGTACACGAAATTTTGCATTCTTTGCGGTGTGTATGCGAGCATCAATCAAGTTACATAATCGTCTTTTTCATGCCATTGTACGTGCACCGATCTCATTTTTTGACAATAATCCTCCTGGAATCGTATTGAATCGAGTTTCTCGGGATATGGGAATGGTTGATGACTTTTTACCACCCACACTATATGACACTGTTATCATTTTGAGCAACAATTGTGCCTCGTTAATTCTTATGGCTTTTATCAGTCCATATTTAATCGCTCCTGCCGTTATTTTATTATTATGCTGCTTCTACTTCAGATCGCGATATGTCAATATCGCCCGAGATGTTAAACGCCTTGAAGGAGTAACTAAAACTCCTGTTTTTAATCATCTTTCATCATCATTGTATGGTCTTACGACAATACGAGCTTTTAGAGTACAAGAAAGATTCAATGAAACCTTTGATTTATATCAAGATGAACATACCTCTGCATATTTTACATGGATCGCCTCATCTCGCTTTTTCATTACACTCATCAACACAATGTCTTTTATTTTTACTGGTTTGGTTGTCCTTACATGTCTACTTGCCATTGACTCACTAAACGGAAGCTCAGTTGGACTTGTTATTGTTTCTGCTATTGGATTATCTTCTGGTTTCCAATGGGGTAAGTAAAACTAAGCAAACAATTTGACATCAATATTATTTATTTTAAACTTACAAGGGAAGGTTCCCAAACGCTACACCAGTTTTCAATTTTTTTACCTCAAAATGTTCTAATAGGTCAGAAATGAGAAATGAAATTTTACCATTTCACCATAGATCCACATTACTTGCATTAAGCACATAAACCTATGGAAAAACAACTTTGACACCCTGTAAATTTTAAACGGGGCATTTGCGAAACGAAGTAAATGACACTTTTTCACTAGTCAACATGCTCTATCGATTAGTCCAAAAATCATTCAATTCTGATTTTAGCGATTGGGAACCTTCCCTTGTTAGTACCGTTTGATGATTCTGTTTATGCAATCAATTAATTTTTGTGAACTTTTTCTTTAAGGTATGAGACAATTGACTGAGGTTGAAACTATGATGACTTCAGTTGAACGTATCGAGGAGTTGCGTTTCATTCCTCCAGAGGCAGAATTAGAAGCACCTCTTTCCCGTAAACCTCCAGCCGATTGGCCTAAACAGGGTCGAATAACGTTTTTGAATGTAAATTTACGCTACGATTCGGAGAAACCTCCTGTTTTAAAAGATCTCAATTTTAAAATCGAAGCTAAAGATAAGGTTGGAATTGTTGGTAGAACTGGTGCTGGTAAAAGTTCAATCATGACAGCTTTATTCAGAATGTTTGAACCAGAAGGTCACATTATTATTGATGGAATTGATATAAATACAATTGGTTTACACGATTTACGACGAAAAATATCTATTATTCCTCAAGAACCAATCATATTTACTGGAACTCTCAGATACAACTTGGACCCATTCAATGTTAAAAATGATACTGAAATATGGGAAGCTTTGGATCAAGCGCAATTAAAGAAAGCTGCTAATTCAATGGGAGGACTTGATTCAGTGCTAACTGATGGAGGAACCAATTTAAGTGTTGGTCAACGTCAACTTGTGTGTCTTGCTCGAGCTATTTTGGCCAATAATAAAATATTGGTTCTTGACGAGGCAACAGCAAACATTGATCCGACAACCGATGAATTGATTCAACAAACAATACGAAAAAGATTTGCCGATTGTACAGTATTAACAATAGCTCATAGAATACAAACAATTATTGATTCAGATAAAATACTAGTTATGGATGCTGGTAAAGTAGTTCAATTTGGTGATCCAGCATCATTAGTGGAAGATACAGAGGGTATATTTTACTCAATGGTTCAAGCAACTGGCAAAGATTCAGCTGATAATCTCATCAAAACAGCTAAACGAACTAAATTAAATAAAAATGAAGAAATCGAAGATAAATCCCGCGTATAATTTGAAAGGAAGAGCCCACATTTTCAAACTGAATTAGATAAATTTTAATCGCAATTACTCCACATAAGTCTATGCATTTGAATCCAAGATTCCAAGGTTTAAAATCGTCTTGTCTATAGATAGCCAAGGAAAATTCATTCGCATGATGTATTAAAATACCTTTAGCAAGTTAATTTAAAGCCAAGACTTACCCAAGATTATTCATCTAAAAATACTTTTGTAAATTTTGTATTAATGCCTTATAATTCTCATAATTCACATTGTTTACCATTACTAAGGATTTCAAAGCTTAGTCTTTCCTTTTTTTCCTAAAAAGATATTCTATTCTAAGTCCCTTTCGTAATTTAAAGCATGAAACCAAACTGAATTTGTGCAATTAATTGTCTAGTATTTCTCCGATAATTTGGTTATTATCTAGACCTTAAGTCTAAGTCTTTTTTCTAAATTTTGTAAACATTAATCAAATTGAACACAGGAAGTTGATTGCAATCTTGCCGAGAATGTCATTTGAAAGGAAGAGTTTTAATTTTCAAACTGAATTGAATTTTAATCAAAATTTACTTTTAGAACCAAACTTTAAATTACTCTAGTAAGTTTATATTTGAAATTTAAGATTTTAATTTTCTACCAAATTGTTACATTTGATAATTTTTATATTTGTTGTTGCTATGTTTTGTTTGCAATAAAAAACGATCGATTTAATCGTCATTTTGAGTTTTTGATCGAAAAAATTGATCAGAACTGAAATCGGAAATCGCCTATCACTAGTCCAAAAGCGGAAAAATATGGAGAATAAAAATGAATCTTATGAACTGAAAAGTTTACATCATGCATCTTTAAGAAGATCAGTTTAGAGAAGATTTCAACAAGAAGTCAACAATTTTTGCACCAATAATTGATGTATGGCGATCGTGCTGCAATTTTAAGATTGATTCGTTAAACTATTCCTTGATTCTGTGGGTGCTAAACGTTTGACACTTCATGCTTAACACCAATACTTTTCAAATCATCCCAACGTCTCCGGATACGAAGTTTTTTTCTCTATCAGTCTGAATTGAGGAAATCCAAATGAACTGAAAAACCCTTCGATAATAATAATTGCCGAGACAAAGTTTCGTTTCTTTTTAATCATCGGCTTGATTGAATAAGTCAAATGGCCTTAGTAAAGTAACCAAAGTAAAGTTGTTAATAAAAAGCGTCAGAACTCATTATTTCATATCAATATTAATACATATTCTTGCTATTTGTTGAAATTTTTAAAGGTTAACTACGTTGGATACTTGCTATTATATTTCAGTTGTATCAGTTTTTTTGCAGATAAAATCTAAGTGATATAATTGTAGTTCTGTTCATTATTTCTGAGAAAATTATATATGAATCAATAGAACTATCAATTAAAATTGACATCAGTTCCAATTAATTTTTTAATCAAAGTCTCATCGCGATTGTTTAATGCAAACTCGTGATTTTTGCTGATTTGGTTTATTTTATACAAATTGCTGTTGGTTTTCATAATTCAAAATCACAGACTAAAAAGTGTATAAAAGCAGCTCAGACCCATAGAAATCATTAGTCTAATAATTAATTATTGTTCACCTAACAACTACCAGTCATAATGATTCGAGCTGCTTTATTCATTCCTTTATTTGCCTTGGCCGCTGCTGCTAGCCTTTCACTTGACTCCCAATGGGAATCATTCAAGGTAAGTTGATCGTTTGGCCAATCGACTCGATTAAGCGAGTTGTGAGGCGATTCTTATTCATGTTTCTTTGTTTTACAGACTAAATACGGCAAATCTTATGAATCAAATGTAGAAGAAACCTACAGACGAAGTGTTTTTGCTCAGAAAATGGAATTGATCAAGGCTCACAATGAAAGAGCGAACAATGGTGAATTTACCTACAGAAAAGGAATCAACAAATTCTCTGATTTGGTGAGCTGAAAACTGAAATTTTAAGGCTTATTTTTAAAATAAAAGCTAATTTAACTTATCAAATTGCTTGTAGACCACCGAGGAATTCAAAGCAAAATACCTTGGATTCAAGGCAACTGCTCGTCGAATCGCACCTTTCATTTACAAGGTAAACAAGACCGTCAAAGCTCCAACCTTAGTTGATTGGAGAACCAAAGGAATCGTTAGTGAAGTCAAAGAACAACAGGAATGTGGTGCGTGCTGGGCTTTCTCTGCCATCGCTGCTATCGAAGCAGCTAATGCCCAAAAAACTGGTAAACTTGTTGTACTTTCAGAACAAAACGTGTTGGATTGCTCATGGAAATATGGTGATCAAGGATGCGGTGGTGGTTACATGGATGATGCTTTCTTATATGTTAAAGACAACAACGGCGTTGATACTGAAAAATCTTATCCATACATTTCTGGTGACGGACAAGATTACCACACATGTCGATACAATGAATCCAACAAGGGTGCTTCAATCGCATCCTTTGTCGATATACCAGAAGGTGACGAGGAAGCCCTTTTATCTGCAGTTTCTGAACATGTTGTTGCAGTCGCCATTGATGTTGGACCACTCCATGATTATGAGTAAGTGAATTTTTGCACTTGAAGAAAACGCAATTGTCTGATTTTTCATTTTTTTTTTTTAGAGCTGGTATTTTAAATACCAACGAGTGTTCAAGTGACCCTAAAGATCTTAGCCATGCTGTAGCTGTTGTGGGATACGGTTCTGAAAACGGTATTCCATTTTGGATTGTCAGGAACAGTTGGGGTCAAGATTTTGGTGAATCAGGTTATTTCAGATTGTACAGAGGTAGCAACATGTGCGGTATTGCTAACCTAGCTTCTTATCCAATTGTTTAAATTGTCAATAACTGTTTTATGAACCTGAACTTATTGATAGATTAAATTTTAAGAAAAAATTGCTTCACTAACTGTTGTTGTGACTTATTCAACACTCTTGCAAATCACAAACCAAGTAAAAATTGAGGTCAAAATTTTGTCAATTGACTCAAAGATCTAGCTGGTTTTTGATATCTTTCAAAAAATTGTATCGCTCATTTCGATTATTTTGACTCGTTATTTCTTGATTGTAATAATTCAATGGGATTTTTTTTATATTAGCATATTTTTTGAATTAGAATAATAAAAATTTGAATTATCGATTTATCATCAATTTTTGAGGACCACAAACCCCAAATCAGTTACGAATCATAAATGTAATGTTCACCCTCAAAAATTTATTTACTAATAGCTAAGATACTAATCAATAAGAATTGGAATTATTATTTCTTGACAGTTATCGATTAAGGAAGGATAAGAAAAATGAATTAATGAACTATACATAAATGATTGAAAAGTTACATTTTTTAATAATTGTTAACTAAACCCATGATAACCACTAATAAAAGTTATTCAGTCTTGAATTCAGAAATCGAGTGAATTCATTTGATTGGCAATTCCACCACTCTGCTTAACAACAAACGAATAAAATTTAAATAAACAATCAAAATACCTACACAAATTTGTTGAAATATTAAGTGAGTGAAAAATTGCGTTTTATTAAATCTTATTCCTTGAAGAAGTAAACATTTCATATAATTATGGAATCGATTGCAACAGTAAAACAGCGAAAATAGTTTTCCATAATTAAGTATCAACTGATTACTATAATGAAATATTGCCGAATCAACAATTAGCAAATGATTTAGTATAACAATGGCCAATGTTTACACATGATTAAAGAATTTGAAAAAATGTAAAGAATTATTATGTTTTTTTGCTCATAGAAACCCATCGAGTTTCAACTGTAAAGTTTTTGGCCGCACTTTTCATTGCATTTTAACGCTAGTTTTTATCATTATCATTTCGAGTTTTGTCAATCAGAATTGACTGTAATATCATAATCAATCGAGTTTTGATTCAAGATATTAAAAACTTTCAAATTGTGACAAAAATGTTCCTCGTTAACAATGTAACTATCGATATCATTTCTTCGAAATCAAAAAAATAAGCAAATATTGTTTTGAATCAAATGAACATAATTTCCATTTTCTTGCCTAGAAACACAAAATTAACCAGAATTGTTAATATCAGTTATTTAAATGAAATCTTTTCCATGTAATAATGAATTTCTCGTTAAATATGGCATGATAGTGAACATAATCTTGATTCTCTTCTCATGAGATGCACAAACAGCAAACTCTAACTTTAATCTAACTTATATTTTTACCTTGTTCATTATCCATTATCCATTGTTTAAAAAGTTTTATTCTTGATCATGAATTCATAGTGAGGAGCGTCTCCATAACTTTTCACTTTCACCCACATATATTCAAAGCTCGAAAAGGTCGAAATTTTGCGACCATGTATCCCTCGTGAGTAAATGATCAAGTTTCTTGTTTGGCATGAAATGATAGTGAACATGATTTTCATCCCCTTCTCATGCAAGCTTTTCACTTTGAATTCATTATGCATTGTTTTAAAGTGTTATACTTGGTCAGTAATTCATAGTTAGGAGGGTCTCCGGAATTTCGTATGATCACTTGTATTTGAAAATTTAAATTCGTAACTTGGAAAGATAGAAAGTGAAAAATTCTAGGAATCCTCCTTTGTATAAGATTTTATCTTAGATTTTGTATTTCGATATTTAGATGATTTGATAAACTGGTGAAATAACGTATAAAGAGTGATGATATTAAACACATTAGCATCAACTAATCAACAAGTTTCATTCAAAAACATTTTATTCTTTTGTGCAACAACCATGAAAATGATCGCAACTCTCTTCGTTGTCTTTGCTTTTGCCTCTTCAGCTTTTGGTCATTGTCCATTTTCACCATTTATTCCCGAGGCTGATATTGGTGCAGTAGGTTTATAATAATTTAATGTGTTTAAGCCAATATGTTTGACATATCCGTTGATTTGTTGTTTGATTGATTCAGATTGCTGGTCGTTGGTATAACGTTATTGAACCAACTCTTGGTGGTTTCCCACAAAATTTAACAAATATTAATACAATGAATTTCACTCCTCGAGAAGATGGAAACTTCAATCTTACAATTAGTGGAACTGATCCTGAGTAAGTGTACATAATTGTTTTTTTTGATCCGATAATTCATTCCGTTTTTCATTCATCATCTAGTGGCTCAAATAAAAGCGAACATTTGTTAGCCGAGCGTACTGAACATCCACAACGACTCAATATCTACGAATTTTCAAAAAGTATTTTTGTCTACATTTTACTTGATGAGTCTCATTCATTCTACAATTGTTAATGAAAGAATTATTTTATTCCCAGATACTCCATATAAAGTTACCTTCACTGTGATGGAAACTGATGATTACGTTAACTATCTTGGTGGCTATTTTTGTTTAATAACTACTACTCGCTCTTTCCCTGGTAAGTATCTTTCAAGATAAACAGCTCAATGTTTCTTTATGCAAATATGATTTTTATTGCTAATAATTCAACTTTCATAATTATCATAGTATCCGGTGGAAATTTCTCTAGAACTGACTCCATGAATGCTATCAAGAATGTCCAGCTGACCGATTTGTTGGTTGATAAAGTTGGCGTATCTGGCGATAGAGTCCGACAAATAATCAATTAAGACTGCATATTAGAAGTTCCAACTTGATAACTTGAATAAAATTGAGTTTTCACTGATATGGATGATGACCTTAAACAACACAATTTACATAAATAAATGAATAGTTATCGCGTTATTAAGTGAATGATCGAAGGAGGGTGTGAAAAGAATATGCGAAATGGCCTATCCTCGGTTTAAATGGGTTTTGCATATGATACAGATTTATGTGCAGATTACAGAAATTAAACTAATTTTTTGCATAGCTAATTGGACAGCTAATTGATTTTTTGCATGGATGTAGTAAATAAAAATACGATGCTTAGAAACATATTATCAAAAATTCAAACAAATAGGAGAGACTGAAATTCAGTCGGTGTGAAAGTGCGGCTGAATGACGGTGTCGTCGTAAAAATGTCAAATTGTAACAAGTTGAATAAAATCATTGAAAATTTATTCTTAACAGTTTCCCAATTAATTTACCTTCCTTCACCAACATTAAAACTGAATTAACTACAACTATTAGATTAATAATGAAATTATTTCTGTAAAGGCCTTTCTCAGTAAAGATGATGATTTCTTACTTCTCATGAAATTCACAGATAACAAACTTATCTTCTCACTTTGATTTCATTAGCCATTGTTTGAAAAGTGTTATCATTCATAGAGTAATTCATAGTAAATATAAAATACATTGTGTATTGTATTTAGATATTTAGATGAATATTATTTGATGAATTGATGAAATGAAATATTATTAAAATTAAAAATCTTGAACTTGTTTATAATGGAAGCTTTTAGATGCTCCGTTGTGATAATGAATTTTGATTATTTGAGTATTTGAAAATTTTTATTAATTTTTATTGCTTGGATGAAAGCATTTAACGTTAAAATTTATTGATTTTGATATTTATTTTTACAACCCAAAGATGATACGGATCTTGTTTATTCATTTTATCGTAGATTTTATTCGTTTTTAATTAGATAATTGCTTTAAATCCATGATCAACAATGTGATTATTACAAGCTCTCTCCAAATCTTCCAGAAAACGTTTCAATTTTGACTCATTGAAGTTGTTGGACTCAACAAGATTGGCAAAAGCATACATGAATTTCATTCCATGAGGGTGAATACCTAAGTTAAGGCAACTTGATTGGAACTTTTTGGCTACTTTTGAGTATATTGAATGATTAAATAATGGCCGTCGAGTTGACATAACTTGTTCGGCATCTGAGCAATAACCATTGGAACAAAGTTGAGAGATTATCTTTTTAATGCCTGATTCAATGAATCGTCGACCAGCAATCAAAGTTTGTAATTTTTTTGCATGAACAGTAGCTTCAGCAGCATCATTTGTACGCTTCATTTTACGTTTAAGCATCACTGAAGGTGCATCTCTCGCGTTTACGGAATCTCTTGTATTTCTCTGAGCTTGAATCTTACTATCAGTCTTTCCACCCAGGAATTGACCAACTTCTAGACTAGCCAGCGACTTTTGACCAAATTGTTGTGGATGTGACAGTGTAGTGTGTTTCAAAACATATTGAAATTGTTGTTCCAAGGTTTCTTTGGTTAGGTCTTGAGAGTCAGAGTTTTCAAGCCAAGCAACTGAAAATTCATCACCAAGACAGGGATAAATATCAGGGTCATCACAATAAATTGGAGAGCTTGGTTCTGTAGAGTTGGCAGCAGTAGTTGCATAAATGTTTATGTTATCGGGTAAAATGTTTTCAAACATTGAACCCGATTCACAAGCTTCTAAGTAAAATACAAGTTTACCATACATTTTATTCTCATGCATGTAAACTAAAGCTTCGTTCAAATCATGTGAAGAAAGTGTATCAGATGGGAAATAAACCAGGCCAGTACCTCCGTGATCAACAAAATAAATGAAAACATGGTCATTTGGTCCTGAAGTAAGTACTTTCTTACCCTTGGCAGCAAGCGCTTTGTCACCTTTGAGTACACCAATGAAGTTTTCAGGAGTTACTTCATCACCAGTATAATCTTTTGACACACCAGCATAGACATCAGAGCCATTAGGAGCATTGAATATTTTACCAGGGAAAGGATTCAGTGGATCACTGGCAATATCGTCGTACATCATGACAATAATGTTTTCAGCGGGAACTCCATGATTTCTCAAGACTTGATAGGCATGGCAAACATCGGCTTGATGATGGTACTCGTCGAATGTATGCGACCCAGCAACCAGGACAGCATGGATATTGTAATCAGCATTTGACTTAAAACTTGACAATTCAGCCAAAGGAGTTGAAGCTGAAAGGGTGAAAAGTATCGGAAGAATGGTTAAAAATGAAAAGATCATTCTGGTCTGGTGTTTGGTACTGTTTAAAGAAAAATTGATTGAGTTGGTGAATTTCTGTCATTTTTATATTAAAATTCATAGCTTATCGAATCATACAATCAAAACAACATATTGTTGGGTAAAAGAAAATTCATAAAATATCCGCTGAATTGATTATTTTCTGCCTATTTCAATATTTATCTTGTTTTCAGCATATTCAGCTTAAGAAATATAAGAAGTATAAGAACTTTTTTAAGAACTTACTTACCAAACTACTTAATTCTCTTACCTAAAAACCCAAAATTAATCGGAATTATTTGTTGCATTTTAACTGTTAACCAGGAATTTTATTGCTTATTGATGCTTTAAATAAAATCATATTTCTGAGTAAATGATCGAAATTCTCGTTAAATAACGTGATATCGTGATAGTGAATAATATCTTCATTCACTTCTCATGAACTTCACAGATAACAAAATTATCTTTTCACCTTGATTTCATTAGCCATTGCTTTAAAAGTTTTTTTGCTTGGTAATTCATAGCAATTTATGAGATTTTGTATTTCGATATTTAGATATTTGATAAATTTATGAAATAACGTATAAAAATGATATAGAACACATTAGGACCATGCAAACAAGTTTCATCAAAAAAACATTTATTTTCTAATTTTGGTAAAAAACTATGAAAATGATCGCCACTCTCTTCGTTGTCTTTGCTGTTGCTTCTTCAGCTCTTGGTGAATGTCCAGTTCCTCCAACTGTTCCTGGTGCTGATTTTGCAAATTACAGAAAATAATTTTTTTATAGCATGTATAGTTTTGAGAATATGTATGCGAAAAACCATTTTATCATATACCATATACCATTTCACATTGCTTGCATCAATGGACATAAACCTATGAAAAACAACTTTGGAACCTTGTAACTTTTGAACGGAGCATTTGTGAAGCGAAAGGCATGACAGAGGTTCATATCTGAAGGAGTATAATTTGAGGTAGAAAATGAAAACTGATGTAGTGTTTGGGAATCTTTTCTTGTAAGTTACATTAAATAATTGATAACACGATTAATAGAAATTGTTCTAGATTTATTGTGTCACATAAAAAGTGAAATTTATTCAAGTGAATTTGATGGAAGTATTGATTAGATCGCAGGCAACGATTGAATGAAACTAGTTAATATGGCTCGATTTAATTTTGCAAATCGGCCACAACGTGCTATTATATCACGATTTTATCAACACTTATTGTATCTTTATTCGTTGGAAAATCAAGGGTTTTTTCTGTATATTTTCCCTTTTGCTATCTGCAATTATAAATCGAACCACACAATGAATTATTGAGAATTTTATTAGAATTAGAGAAAGGATTCGCGAAAAATCATTATTAACCTGAGCAATATTAAACAGATGAATCTGTCAGAATCAAAGTTATCTTTTTGTATTTCTAAATGGTAGAAATGATTATTAGATAAAATCTTGAAATTCAGGTATTTAAGGAGTGAAAAACAAGTTTGCTATTAGTTGTCGATTTACAAATCATTTGTGAATACATTTACTTTAATAAACAGTTAACCTGTTAACCATCAAAAATGAAACAATTTTTTGTTCTCTGTGTTTTCTCATTATCATTTGCTCCAGTCTTTGAAACTAGAGATCTATCTCAACATAATGCCATCAGGACTTTTATTGCACCAGCAGGTTGTCCTGAGCCCACTCGACTCCCTCAACCATTTGACCTAGCAAAAGTAAGCAACGTTATATTGAAATCAAACAAACCCACTTTGTATGTCATATTTCAACCACCCTCTTAACTTTTCGTTTTTCACAAGTACCTCGGTGATTGGTATGAAATAAAGTCAACTGGACCAATTTTTGAGTATGGTCTCCGTTGTACTCAATTTAATTACAAATTGGACAACGCTACTGGTAACATTGCTGTCAACGAAACTGGCGTTATTTTTTCTGGGCAAAAATTTTCCAGTCTTGGAGTTGCAGTACCATCTGCACAAGACAACGTCTACTCAATCAAATTTCCTAATTGTGAGTTCTATACCAAATCCTGATCAGTGTCAAAATTTAATTCTTTGATTCTCAAAATTCAGACGCAACTTACGGACAGTATTGGGTTGTTGACACTGATTATACCAATTATGCCTTAGTTGTTTCCTGTTACACTGCATTCTCACGTAAGTACTCATTTTTGACTGAGCTTTCAACCAAAATTGAACTTTAAATACAAATTTCATTTCCTGATTTCAGATGATGTTTGGATACTCTCAAGAAAACCAACATTGGACGATGGTATTGTCGAAAAGTTGGTTGCTAAATTAGACTCGGTTGGAATTCATAACACTAAACTCTCTGAAACAATCCAGAATTGTTGATTTAAATCATATTATTAGCGATCAAATTTGAACCAAATTAAGAGCTAATGTATCCTAACCTCCGAACAATATTTACTACCAAGCATTGCAAATTATGCTCCAGATCGATCTAAATGATAAATTCTGTAACCTTTAAATATAAGGTAATAAACGTTCATTTCAAAAAGATTTTGCTCATTGGATCTTCAATTCGTTAAATAGATTAATGTATCTAACAGCATATCTTTCTTACCTTCGCATTAAAAGTAGAGTGCTTGAACAATATCTCTCATTATTTCTTATACAGTCATGATTTCACGACTGTATTTTCAACATTTTTCTCAATGTTTCGTTGTATTGATGTACTGTTACATTTGGTTAAAATGTTTAACATGTAAAGAGTCACACAATTAGCAGTAAATTGTCACCTCAACAACACTTCAAATGGTTCACCAAAGCGTTGGACATATTTGGTTGACTTGTTCATAATAATTGCAATAATTTAAATTGATTAGTAGTTAACAAAGAAAGGATATTGAGCAAACTATGCTTCTTAACTGAAAAGACAAAACATTTCTGAAATTGGTTATAAAATATGATTTAAATCTATTTAAACCAAACTATCATCAACTAAACCAACCATCATCCGAACCAGAGTTACAGGTTCAAAAACTTTGAATTATCTGTCTATTAAGAAGTCAATAGTCAAGTTTACCGTATTACAAATTGGAATATAATTCTTATTGTGATCCAAAAATTAAAATCTGCATAAAGAAATTTAAAATCAACTCCGACTCTATTCATGATATGTCGGTTAATCATATTTTTGATTGTCTAAAGAGAATTTATTAAATGATAAATAAAAAATCGAACTGTCAACTGGGTCATTTCGGTCCAGCTAAACATCCATTACACATCTTATCAATTGATACTATTGGAGGTTTCGACGGTTATAAGTCAAAGAAAAAGTTGATCAATATTGCAATCGACCATTTCACTCGCTATTGTTGGACCAATGCATCCAAAAATCAAAAATCCATAGATATTATCAATTTAATTAAGACAGTAATGAGAGAAGGGAAAGTTGAAATAATACTGTGCGATCAATACAAGGCGATGACATCGAAACTATTTTACCGTTTCCTCATCGATAACACTATTGAAGTATTTCATATTCCAAAATCATCACCGCATTCGAATGGTATGATAGAAAGACTCAATTCAAGCATTACAGACAAAATTAGATGCAGTATGATTGAAAATGACTACAAATATTCATGGGTTAAATACCTGCTTAGAGCTACAAACGACTACAACAATTCGATACATAACTCAGTTGGATTTACACCCAATTATTTGATGAATGGTGAGCTACCAGACCCTGCATTCAATTCAGTAGGTTGGCCACCATTAGATGAAGCTAGGAAAGTAGCTTATGAACTGAGTGAAACGCACATCAGTACAATAAGAAGGTTTTTGATGAAAAACATAAAGCAATAACATTCAATGAAAGTGACCAGGTTTACGTGAAAAATCTTGCAAACATTGCACTGGGAAAATTAGATCCACGTTATCTTGGCCCATTCCAAATTCATAGCAAACTTGCTAACAATATTTATCTTGTAGGAGAAGATTTAAAGATGGTTCATTCTCAACACATTTACCCAGTTTCAAGTTTGAATTCATACGATGAAAAAAACCAAAGGTGTGGGGTGTAGAAGTCTAGCTTCGGTTAGGACTATTTATTAAATATAATCCTTTAAAGTTAATGAGAGTGAATATTAATTGTTGACCATCTAAAGTTGTTTCAATTGTTAGAAGAAAAGGATAATTAAGAAACATATAAGAGATAGTTAATAGATGAAAGATTATGAAGGTAAAAAGATCAATAAAAAGTGTTCTTCAAATTAAAGTCTAAAGTGTCTATTTCTCAAGCATACGTTATTGAATTAACGCATTATACAAACGTATACCTTATCACGGACGATATTAGCTCAGTTACATACGTTATTAACTTAACGTATATATTAGCGTATATATTAACGTATACATAAACCACCCAAAAGACTTACAAACTTACTTACCAAACTACTTCATTCTCTTACCTAAAAACCCAAAATTAATCGGAATTATTTGTTGCATTTTAACTGTTAACCAAGAATTGTATTGATTATTGATGCTTTAAATGAAATCATTTCTAAGTAAAGGATCAAAATTCTCGTTGAATATAACGTGATAGTGAATAATATCTTCATTCACTTCTCATGAAATTCACAGATAACAAAATTATTTTTTCACCTTGATTTCATTAGCCATTGCTTTAAAAGTTTTTTGCTTGGTAATTCATAGCAATTTATGAGATTTTGTATTTCGATATTTAGACGATATTACTTGATAAACTGATGAAACAACGTATAAAAACTGATGATATCAAACACATTAGCATCAGTTAATCACCAAGTTTCAGCAAAAATATTTAACTTCTTCGTCAACAATCATGAAAATGATCGCAACTCTCTTCGTTGTCTTTGCTGTTGCTGCTTCAGCTCTTGGTGAATGTCCAGTTCCTCCAACTGTTCCTGGTGCTGATATTGGCAAAGTAAGTTTATGAAGATTGCATGTGTTTACCCAATGTGCTTTACTTTAGCCTTTAATTTGGCATTTTATTGACTTAGATTGCCGGTCGATGGTATGAAACTACAGATGCTTTCTCACATAATTCAACATTTATTACGTTTGATTTCACTCCTCGTGAGGATGGAGACTTCAATCTTACAATCCATGCACCTTTGTAAGTAGACAAAATTGATTGATTTAAATGGTTTTTAATGCAAATTATTCACCTTGTCTATTAGTTCAAAGCATGATGAATATGTGTTAGCCAAACGTACTGATAATCAAAATGTACTCAATTTTATTGATGTTTACCACAGTAAGTAGTTTTTATGTACTTTATATTTCATGATGTGTCTTATGCTTTTGACAATTGGTCAATATAAGAATTATTTTTCATCACAACTAAAAATTACTATGATAATTTTCAGAGACTCGGTACCAAGTTACCTTCAATATAGCCGATACTGATTACGATAACTATCTGGTTGCTTATACTTGTCTTGTTTATTCTTCTCACTCCGCACTCGGTAAGTACCTCTCAAGTAGACTTACTAGATGTTTCTTCACTTTAATTCATATGTATTCATAATAATTCATAATAGATTTGCCAATGATTTTATCAAGGACTAAAACTATGAGCGCTGAAAAGTATGCCAAACTGTCCGATTTGGTTGATAATGAAATCGGCGTTTCTCGTGATAAAATTGAACCAGTAATCCATTGAGACTAAATATTAGCTAGTTTCCCCAATAATGGTAATGGAAATTGTTATTGATCTAACTGCTCTTCTGATATCAAGTAATAGTTATTGGTTTATCAGACCATACAATTGGAAAGGTTTTCTGTTGACAAAGATAAAGAAGCAAATAAACAGAGTTACATGTAAATAACATCCTTTTCTTGATTTTCAAAGTCATCATTGATATAAAATCAATAATCAACTTTATTCAAATAAAACACTCTTGGTTGAAATTGTAAATCATGGCGATTAAACCTTAATATGTTTAATTAAGATGTTTAATCCTTAATACCAGCCCCACCAAGACTTTTACTCAGGTTACCAGATGATTCATATTCAGGCAAAAGTAGAAAGTCTCTTATTCGTTTGATAGCGATTAAAGATTCAGCTCCACTAGAGATTCCTAGCGGAATGAAGATGGTGATTGAACTTTGAAGCTGTCTTATAAGAGACATTGCAACGAAAACGGTTCGAGCACTTAATTGATTAGCGAATGTACAGAGCGTAATGGATGGGTTTACATGTTGCACAAGAAGCCTGGTGATGAAGCACCTCAATGGGGTTATGTTGCCGCTCCACATCATTGTGCTTGTAAAATACAACCCAAACTGGAAGTAACTGTACCATCAAGTGAACGCTGAAGTATTTAATCATTGAATCAATTGTTCCAATTCAGTCTTCCTTCGATTCAAATTTGTGTTTCTGTTTCCAATATTGCAAAAAAGTTTCTTTTCAATAATCTCAAGCGAAATTGTTGCTTCAAATTGGTTATAAAATATGATTTAAATCAATTTAAATCAAACTATCATCAACTAAACCAACCATCATCCGAACCAGATTTACAGGTTCAAAAACTTTGAATTATTATCAATATTATTAATATCTGACTATTAAGAATTCAATAGTCAAGTATTACAAATTGGAATATAATTCTTATTGTAATCCAAACATTAAAATCTGCATAAAGAAATTAAAAATCAAGTCCGACTCTATTCATGATATCTCTTTTAATCATATTTTTCATTGTCAAGTGAGAATTAATAAAATGATTGAATAAAAAAAATCCGATGACTTAATCAAATCAAACTTCTAATTAAACTTAAAGTAATAATTTTCTAGATTATATCGATGGAAAGTTGAAAACATATTGTAAGTAGTTCAGTGATCTGTTTTTAGTAGATTACTGATCCAAGATTGTATGAACAGTTTGATAGGAGGGAGAAAAGGATCAGAATTAATCTATCCAGATAAAACTCAATCCTATCCTAAAATAACCATTTGAACATTTCGAATTGAGCATGTTCCATCAGCTGTTGATAAATTCAAGAAACCATGTTGAAGATGTTGAAAGTAATATCATTGGAAACGATAAAACTAAGCCAATCTTAATAATCATTGTTAAGTATTGCTCCATCTATTAGTTGATAATTTTTTATGCTGCATCCACATGTTTGGTACTTTAGCCAACTCTAACCTTTTCACTTCAGGTGGAGCCATGTCTAGTGCAATTGTATCTTTAAATTTAGTGTCAACTCAACATTTAATCTTGATGGCTGATCTGTGTTAATGGTGTTATATTTATTATTAAATGGTTATTGAATTATATTAATCAATAAATCATTAGTCTTCAGTAATCATGATACCCTGCCACTTTAATACCTTCTACCCATTTTCATAGTGGACTTTCTTAGTGTAAACCTTTTATTTATGCATCTTCTGGTTCGAGTATCTTTTGGCTTTTTTCCATTGTCCAATGTTTTTTAATGTGTACATCAAATTATAACACAAAATCAACAAGTGTTTTCTTATTTACTATTTCGTGTAAATCTTTTAATATTTTCAAGTGTAAAAAAACATATACACAGACCACAAAATGGTAACTCAACAAGGAACCATTTTCAAAAAGTCATCATACGATCAAGCGAGCAGTTTATCAAAATTATTTTTCTAGTAAGTATTGTGTTCAACCAACTCCTTAATTCTCAGGTATTTTTCCTGGCCATTACATTCCTGTATCTAGACTTGTCTAACATTGTCTGAATGTCTGTTGCCAAATGCATGTAAAGTAATTCTAGCTTTTAATTTTTTATTTTGCTTTGTTTTTCTTTCAAGCTGGCTCCTTAGTTTTTATCTGGAATTTCAAAAGAAGCGAATAAAAACAAATGATCTTGAACAATGTCCAAAGTATGATCAATCAGAAAGGATTGGAGAGAAACTTGAGAAGTAAGTATCATTGGATTTGAAATTCATTAGTAGTTGATGATTTGCTAGTTGGTAGCTTCCTAATGAATCCTATGTAAACAAGCTTTTCACCAGAAAAATTGATTCCGGTTTCCATGTTAATTACCTATTCCTTTGTTTACTGATTTCAAGTTATGATAACTTTTGTTCCCTTGTAATTACATCTAACTATACATTTAATTTTTTCTCTGTAGGCAATGGAACGAAGAGCTTAAAAAATTGAAGACTGGCGGTCAACCTAGCCTAGGATGGACAATAATCAGAACAATTGGTTGGCATTACTCATTCACCTTTATTCTGCTTTTCAGTTCGGTAAGAGGATTGTAAAAACACTCGAAATTAACATGCTTTTTACCGAGTGCGTTTGTACCATTGTGTGTCTAAATGGTTGTTCAATAATACTTGTACAATTGTATAATCAAGCCTTTCTCTTGTGATTCTTGATTTTTGAGATTTAGGTACCGACTAGTAACAAATCACTTCAAAACAAAATGCTACTTAGTCGGTGCCTATTACATGTGCACTAAGAATGGAAGTTTAATGCTATTTTTACTCAATTACATTATCTGTTTTCAGAGTGACTTATTTGTGTTACTATTAAGTTGATTATTTGTCAACTTTTTCATACTGGATTTTTTGTCCTTGCTTTTATCTTGTCAAGTCTAACTCTCTATGAAGCTTTTAATTAGCTTCTTTAATCATCAATTAGATTCAACATTGATTTTCCTTGTTGAATAGTTCGATCTTTGGTTGACTCTCAACATCTCTCATTGCTATTATTATCACAAATCAATTTATTTTACACTCACTTTAATCAGCTCAATATTGAGTTACATATGAAGTCAGATTTCTTTTTCATTCATTGATTAATTTCATTTATTGATTTTCAATGGTTGAGTTAGGTCATGTTTATTAATCTCGACAAGCTGACCTTTGTCAGTACTTTTATTAGTTATGACTTTTTAAGCTCAAATCAAGCTGAAATTGAAAGCTTTCAGTTTACTCTATTCTGATCATATTTTATTTGTCTTGAAATTAATACGATGTATTTCGAGATTAGATCTGGTAAATTGATTATCCTAAATGAACAATCTCTTGAGTTGCATTTTGCATAACCAAGAGCACATTCCATTTGATTCCTTTATTTCTCATGAACTTTTTTCTTTCTCTTTTCAACTCAGAGTATGGCCCATCTAGCACAGACTGTTTGCATGGGTTACCTGATAGAGGCGTTGTACCAATATAATATGGAAAAAGATCATTCAGATGAAATTCGCTGGAAAATTTATCTAACCGCTGCTTGTGTTGTTGGTGCACAATTTTTCAATACTTACGTTGCCAATATGTACTGGTTTTTAGCGCGCAAATGTGGTATTGATATAAGAGTCGCTTGTAGTCGTTTAATTTATCAAAAATCTTTACGTTTATCTCAAGCATCTCTTGGAGAAACAACTGTTGGTCAGATAGTTAATTTACTTTCAAGTGATGTTTCACGTTTCGATCTTGCTTCAGAGTTTCCCTTCTTTTTGATTCAAGGCCCACTTGAAGTCATTATTTGTATAATCATTTTATGGCCAATGCTTAATATTTCAACTATAATTGGACTTTTAGTCCTTTTCTTATACATCCCGTTTCAAACACTAATGGGCAAAGCTTTTGGAGCTCTTCGAGAAAAAGGTGCATTCCTGACTGACGACCGTATTCGATTAATGAATGAATTCATTCCAGCCATGAGAGTTATCAAAATGTATGCATGGGAAAAGCCTTTGACATTATTGGTTGATTTAGCTCGTAAACGAGAAGTATCAAAGATTCGCTGGGCAGCCTATCTAAGAGGTCTAAATCTTGGTCTCGGAACAATCGCTGAAAAATTGATTATGTTCTTAACTCTTGTATCGTTCGTAATGCGTGGTAATCAATTAAGTGCTCGAACCGTTTTCGTTGCAATGTCTCTTATAAGACAGCTTCAAAGTTCAATCACCATCTTCATTCCGCTAGGAATCTCTACTGGAGCTGAATCTTTAATCGCTATCAAACGAATAAGAGACTTTCTACTTTTGCCTGAATATGAATCATCTGGTAACCTGAGTAGAGGTCTTGGCGGGGCTGGTATTAAGAAGTCAAAAGTTTCTTATTCTGATGTAACACTATCGTGGCGTGATGACAAAGAGCCATTATTGAAAAATCTTACCTTTGATGCATCTCCAGGAAAATTGATTGCCATTGTTGGTCCTGTAGGATCTGGTAAATCATCAATATTGATGTCAATTTTAGGCGAAATCACCGCAAAAGCTGGTAAAGCTGAGGTACTTGGTTCAGTATCTTATGCTTGTCAACAATCATGGATATTCGCAGGTTAGTATTTAGTTGTAGAAACATGTTTGGATTGTATATATGATTGAGTCTAATGAATTTTTATTTTTTCAGGAACCGTTAGAGATAACATTTTATTTGGAAATGAGTTTGAAGCATCAAGATACAAGCGAGTAATTTTTGTCTCTGCTTTGGAACGAGATTTACAAATTCTTCCATCTGGTGATCAAACTATTGTTGGTGATCGTGGTGCATCACTCAGTGGAGGTCAAAAAGCACGAATAAACTTGGCCCGAGCTCTTTACGCTAGAGCTGATATTTACCTTTTAGACGATCCATTGTCTGCTGTTGACGCTCCTGTTGCCAAACATATTTTTGAAAACAGTATCAAAGACTTTTTATCAAACAAAATAGCCATTTTAGTTACTCATCAATTGCAATTCATGAAATCTGCTGATTCTATTTTACTTATACGTAATGGTGAACAAGTTTGTTTTGGTGATTATATGGAGTTGCTAAATAAAGGCTCAGATTTCATCAAATACAGTCAAGTTCTGGAAGTAGAGCACAAAGTTTCAGAGACTCCTGACAAGACTCCCAAGATTATCGGCTTGTCTTCATCAAGATCCAGTCTTCGATCAAGAACATCATCTCTTATTAATCCAGATGTTTGTGGCAGTACAGCCTCAGTTTGTACTGAGACTGCTGATGAGTTACCGAAAGTTGACAATTTACCTATTGGAGGTGATGAAGATGGTCCAGGTGTCCACGAATTGGCAGGTATCAAAGTCAGCAAGCATCTTTTATGGACGTATATCTGTGCCGGAATCAGTGTTATTCTTTTCCCATTTTGGGTACTTTATATATTAGGTGCTGAGCTTTTAATTAGTTTTGTTGAATACTATTTTTCACTTTGGGCTGATTCTGCTGAGAGAAAAGGTCGTTTCCTTGCTGAACAAACAGCTCAACCAAATGCTACTTTTGAAGTTACAAATTTTGTTGACGATTTGTCACAAAATGATAATATCATCTTTTTAGCCTGTATAACTGTTGTTTTATTTTGTTGGTGCTGTACACGAAATTTCGCTTTCTTTGCCGTGTGTATGCGAGCATCAATCAAGTTACATAATCGTCTTTTTCATGCCATTGTGCGTGCACCGATCTCATTTTTTGACAATAATCCTCCTGGAATCGTATTGAATCGAGTTTCTCGAGACATGGGAATGGTTGATGATTTCCTGCCTTCCACATTTTTTGACACTGTGATCATTTTGAGCAACAATTTTGCCTCGTTAATTCTTATGGCTTTTATTAGTCCATATTTAATCGCTCCTGCCGTTATTTTATTATTATGCTGCTTCTACTTCAGATCGCGATATGTCAATATCGCCCGAGATGTTAAACGCCTTGAAGGAGTAACTAAAACTCCTGTTTTTAATCATCTTTCATCATCATTGTATGGTCTTACGACAATACGAGCTTTTAGAGTACAAGAAAGATTCAAAGAAACCTTTGATTTATATCAAGATGAACATACCTCTGCATATTTCACATGGATCGCCTCATCTCGCTTTTTTATTACACTCATCAACACAATGTCTTTTATTTTTACTGGTTTGGTTGTCCTTACATGTCTACTTGCCATCGACTCACTAAACGGAAGCTCAGTTGGACTTGTTATTACTTCTGCCATTGGATTATCTTTTGGTATTCAATGGGGTGAGTAAAACGAAGAAAACGATTTCTCTTAAAGATAATTTATTTGAAAGTACCGTTTAATGATTCTGTTTATGCAATCAATTAATTTTGTGATCTTTCTCTTTAAGGTATGAGACAATGGACTGAGGTTGAAACTATGATGACTTCAGTTGAACGTATTGAGGAGTTACGTTTCATTCCTCCAGAGGCAGAATTAGAAGCACCTCTTTCCCGTAAACCTCCAGCCGATTGGCCTAAACAGGGTCGAATAACGTTTTTGAATGTAAATTTACGCTACGATTCGGAGAAACCTCCTGTTTTAAAAGATCTCAATTTTAAAATTGAAGCTAAAGATAAGGTTGGAATTGTTGGTAGAACTGGTGCTGGTAAAAGTTCAATCATGACAGCTTTATTCAGAATGTTTGAACCAGAAGGTCACATTATTATTGATGGAATTGATATAAATACAATTGGTTTACACGATTTACGACGAAAAATATCTATTATTCCTCAAGAACCAATCATATTTACCGGAACTCTCAGATACAACTTGGACCCATTCAATGTTAAAAATGATGCTGAAATATGGGAAGCTTTGGATCAAGCGCAATTAAAGAAAGCTGCTAATTCAATGGGAGGACTTGATTCAGTGCTAACTGATGGAGGAACCAATTTAAGTGTTGGTCAACGTCAACTTGTGTGCCTTGCTCGAGCTATTTTGGCCAATAATAAAATATTGGTTCTCGACGAGGCAACAGCAAACATTGATCCAACAACTGATGAATTAATCCAACAAACAATACGAAAAAGATTTGCCGATTGTACAGTATTAACAATAGCTCATAGAATACAAACAATTATTGATTCAGATAAAATACTAGTTATGGATGCTGGTAAAGTAGTTCAATTTGGTGATCCAGCATCATTAGTGGAAGATACAGAGGGTATATTTTACTCAATGGTACAAGCAACTGGCAAAGATTCAGCTGATAATCTCATCAAAACAGCTAAACGAATTAAATTAAATAAAAATGAAGGCATCGAACATAAATCCGACGTATAATTGACTTGCTAAGAGTATTTTAATACATCATATGAATAAATTTTCCTTGGCTATCTAAAGGACAATACAACTTCAAACCTTGGAATCTTGAATTCCAATCAATAGACTCAACTGGAATCGAAACCAGTTTCCTTTCCATGTTATCAAACATTAAAAATCGTGTCATTTCTTAAAAACTGTTTAAGTGTAAATTACAAAATAAAAAATGTTTTCTTCAAGCTATTCTAATTTGTTGATTTTGATTTAGTCATTTATTTCATTACATAAAAGTTTACACTACATTACACTATGTAAGATTTTAAAAATTTTATCAACTTTTTATAATAAGACTTCAGATTATTTTTCAGTAATAACGCTTAAGTAGCTGCCTAATGCGATTTAAATAAAATAACAGTAACACAAATCAGATCAAATTGGAGATATAAATAGCACTTATCAGAATATCAGTTTTTAGGAATATTCACGCAACAATTCATACATTTCAATACATTTTAATTTTTTAACATTCTATGCACAATATTATTTTATTATATTCAAGTCCACATGATGAGGTAAATTTTATCGAACTATCATTTGTTGATGAATTATGTTTATAGAAGCACGCAACAATTTGTATTATTATTGTACCTTTTCCATAAGTCCGCATAATAAGGAAAATGATGGAAACAAGATGAAAGTCAGTCAATTAAATGACACTAAAGATGCAACTGGTTAAAAGGGTCATTAATTTGGACTCCAGAAAAGGCAAGGTGAGGATATTTTTGGATGACCCTGTCTTTATTTTGTTTTGTCATCGCGATTGTTTAATTATGACATGTGGAAATGAGTGTATTTTCTGGTTAACCATCAAAATGTACATCAGCAAAATGAGTTTCATGAAAAAGTCTGCTTTTATTATTGTACAAAAGCGATCGCAGTTACAACTTTGAGCTCGATTTTCTCAAAAACTGTGGAGCAGAGAAATTTTTTAATCACACAGAAGGAATCAGTTTTTTATTTCTCTACAAATTGACCGAGTCTAGATTTGATAGAAGTTAGTTTTTATCCGTTTTTGATCTCTTGTGTCAATTTGTGTATAAATGTGACAATTGTGTCGGTTGTGCCTTTTCAGTAACATCCTGAATGTAAAGAGCGTAATGGATGGGCTTACACAAGAAGCCCGGTAATGAAGCACCAGGTCATGAAGCGGGGTTATGTTGCCCCTCCACATCGTTTTGCTTGTAAACTGGAAATAACTGTACCCTCAAGTTAAAGTATTAACAAGACAATTAATAAATAGTCTAGCTAAATATCAACTCTCAGCAAAAAGCCCAATTTCATTATTCCACCGTCTCTCGATATTCAGCGGTTTTGCTTCCATTTATCTTCAACAAACCAGTATCTCGTTAATTTTGAATATAAAATGTATTCCAATAAAATGAGTAAAAATTAAAAAATTTGATTATTCAATTGACTTATTGAAATCCAAAACAATTTTGCTTATTTGCTACACAACTTTGCAAAACAAAAATGCAAATCAAATGTAACATTAATGAAATAATTAACACTTGGAATTCATTTGAATTGCATTAATTATCACAATTATTAAGCAAATAAGCGTAAATGAATGTAAATTAGCTGCAAATGTTGAAAAGTATTTCAAAAATTGAACCAAAAGTTAGAAAAGGTAACAATTGAAAACGATCTAATGAGCTGAATTAGTTTTAATGTTGTTCACATTGATTTTCAAAAAATTGTTCATAAATAATGAAAGTTATTTCAAGGCTTGTTTAATAGTTTAATGGATTCGACTAATTTAGTCGAGCAAGTCAAATGATTAAGAATCACCTAATTTATCTTATTTTTATTGGCTTTGTCTAATGATGATGATGAATCTGATTGATAAATGGATTGACAATTAATTTAGTTTGTGCATGAATAGTAACCATAGAAACATTCTGAACCTGCTCAGGATTATTATCTAAACTCCTTTCAAGAGTTGAGTTGAACATAAGAGAGGCTGGGAGTGAAGATGTAGGATGATTCAATTCATATTTATGCTTTACTTTCTTTATCTGTCTAATAATCTGTCTGTTTGCTCACCAACATTATCTTCATCTTCTTCTTCTTCATTCAGTTCTACTTGTTGTAACGTGAATTTACAGTCAAGTAAACAAGAGGCAAACCGGTAAAAACTCTGTGTTTACATTGACTTGGCCATTCACAAGGTTTACTGTTTTCTTCCTGGTTACTTTCGTTTTTTTAAAATTGTTACTGTTTGTTTTAATTGTGAAATTGATTTTTCCATCCATTAATTAACTAACCATCTTTAAATTGCAAGTTGAGGCTATTTGGTTAAGAGCGACTTGATAAATCCACAACCAACTGGAAAAGAGTTACATTGTTAACTAGTTTTCAAGTGATGGTTCCTACTGTTTATTGTTGAGCTTTATTAATGTGTTGTTATTTTAATAACTGTTTAATTAACTTGTCATCCAACACAATTGATTGAATGTACCAATCAGCCTTGTAAACATCAAAAAGGAACCAGAAAATCAACCCAAATCACCAGAAAAAAATAAGACGACTGCAAATCCATTAGAAAGCGATTTATACATGAATCTCTTGAAGATTGTTGTTTTATTTGAACATTACTCTGGTAATTAAATGGATTGCTTGGTTGATCATTTGTCCTACAGTTTATTGAGAAGCAGTCTAAATCAAGATCAATTTAAAATAAACTGGATCCATTAACCATCAATCATGATCTTGAACATAAGGTGACACCAAGATACAAGACGAAGGGACACAATTAAAAGCAACAATTCTACTCATTTAAACCTCTCAATCTTGCCATTTTTCTTCTTCCCCTCATCATTATCATCTTGTGCATCCCATGTTCATTCCAAAAATAAACAACCAATCAACTAGTGTAAATCTAACAACCATAAATCATGTCTGTCTGGAATCGACTCACAACACAATCGTTTGATTTGTAAACTCAAATTTTCTTTCCATCATCATTATTAAATCCATAGTAAATACAATCGCCAGTTTAAACCATCATCGTCATTCCCATGCTCATCCTTAAAACCAACCTCGTTCTTGGGTTAAATGGCAAAACTATTGCAAGTCAAATTAATACCAAAGGATAACATTAGCAACAAAACTAAACCAATCGTCTGACCCTATCCGACAGACCTGAAATCCATTGACAGCGGCAATAGCCAGTCAGACCGATAGCAAGTCATTATTGTTAATAAGCCAATGTTAATCACCAAAGCCTAATGTTTATACTTATGCATGTTCACCCAAGTTTAACCTAATCTCAACTAAACCAAGTTTCTTGACCGCTTTAACTGCATATTCATTTGTGTACATCTTACGGTGAAATTTGTGATTAGTTTATGTACAAATTGTGGACATTTAGTGCTACCAATTTGGCTTCAATTTCAATCTCCATGTTACTTCAAGTTAACCAGTGTTGATTGTTTCTCGATCACTTAATTTGTTTTGTTTCTGGTGGTGCGAGGTTAGCCACGCTATGAATATTATCCATGTTTCTCAAGCGAGCGATGAGGTATTATAGAGTATGGATATATTCTTGTAATTTAGCATTATTCCTATCAACATTGGTATTCATTATACTTTCCTTATGGATTGCAAGTGACTTCCATCTCGCTCTTTTTCCAAGTATAACCTTTTACCAGCCATCATTCATTTATGCATACATGGCTTTAACCCTTCAATCCGGAATCCTTCAGGTAAGAAGTTTAAAACCTAATCAGATTAAAAACAAAGTATTGAAAAAAGTCAAAAATTTTCAGGTTAAACCTAAAAGTCGAAACTAAAAGTTAAACCCAAAAACTTATTATAAATCCAATACAACAACATAAATGTAATAAACTGGTTCAAAGTTAACTCCTTACATTGTTTTCAACATAAAATTGACTTCCAGACCAAATTGCGATCTCACTTGTTAATATTTGATCAGTCGAGTCAACTAATCAACTGAATTACCAAGTTAATTCACTTTTCTGGTCAACTTTTGTAGCAAACATTTCTCATCCAACAATTGTTTTTAATTTTAGGGAAGATTCATTTTTCTCTTGATTTTTAGTCTTTTCATTGCATTTACTTGATTCTCAACTTGTTCATTCGCAAATTTGTCAATGATGTTATTACTTGTACTTATTCAAATGACTGTTTGGTTATTTGTTAACAATTTGTCGATTGTAAATGAAATAGCGATGAAATGAATCAATGATGAAGACTAACTTTCTTGTGACTTTGTTGGCTTTTAACCAGAAAAATTGCATTCAATTTCATTGGAAAGTAATTTCAAGTGAAAGGCGAAATATATTCACATAAAGAGTAAATTGTTTTCAATTGAATTCAGTTTCTGATAATCATTCAATCATATTGTTACCAAGCTTTTCAATCTTTTCATCTCTCATCTTCTTTCATCTGCAAACTAAAATCTTCACTCCAATTCATCTTGAAGGAAGAAAAAAAAAGTTCACAAAGAAAACAACAAAAAATACTTCATTATTTATACCATTAGCATCTATAGATTTGTCAATTTGCCATTTAATTCAATTGATAAACTAAATACTTTGTATCATGTTGATTGATTTTAGAGCAAACAAATGGTTTAATCATGATGATTAAGTAGACAATTATTTAGATGAATGAAGGCAACTTGAATGGCCATTTCTCCTTGCCTAATCAACATTGAATTCAACTTGATTCACATGTTCAATGTTCAACTAATTATGATTGCTGATCAACATGTCTCTGCCATTTGAATTGAGTCCAACCATCAATTTGAAACATTGAATAACAATTGAAGGCTAATGATGAATTTATTAATAAATCGTAATAAATTAAGATCTTGCAAGACCAATAATTACAAGGCTTTTTTTTCATTCTCATCAACTGTTCAACTTGTTTCCATTAATTTATTGATTGTAAAGTTTGACCTTAAATTGTGAGGAAAATGAGTTTCCTAATATATTGATCATTGGATATATTATTAATAAACATAAAATGAACTGAACAAAATGTTTCCCATTTTATCTATTCTTTGTCCGTCTATTATAATTGATTCATTGAAAAGTAATCAACATTATCGATTGAAATTACCAGTTGAATCCAGTGATTAAATTTAAGATTGAAAAGAGTCCGCAAAGTTGAACAAAAAAGGCCTTTTGCTTCGAAAAAAATGAAAATCTCTCAACATTGAATTGAATTGTAAAAGTAAGTCAACAATTAATGATACAAATTTGGAAAGCAATTGTCAAATGGTTGAACTAAAAATACACTTACAATGTATTACAATCAATATGATTGGACTATTATTAGGTTCAAGTGTTGGAATAAATGAAGAGCAAAATGTTACCCAAAATAAATCACTTTGAAAATAATATTTTCCCAGTTAAACCCAAAGTTAATAATGATCAAGATTGTAATCATGAAGAGGCTACAATCGATGAATGATTAGAAATGCGAAAACAAAGGTCAAAATTGAAATGTTTTTTCGCCTGACTGGGTTAACTAAAGATTGGGATGTTGATATTTTTGTTAAAACAAAGCAAATAAAAACAATATTTTTCACTTTGAAAATATGTATTAACGATCATGTTCATCTTGAAATTTTGTTTCTGTACATTTGCCAAGATGATGATTCTTTATCCTCATTCTCACCCTGATGCTCATGCTTTTGTTTTACCAGGAAAAACCATCATCACTCTCATCATTACTTGAGAGGAAGAAGACGAAGATGAAGCTTTTGTCTTTTTTTTCACTTATTTGCTCTTCCTTCTCAAGTGAAGTGATATGTATGGAAACATTTCAAATACTAATATGGCGAATTGATGATGATGATGATCAGTCTTCCTCCAGGTCATCAGACATCTTGATCTTTACATCTTTAGTTGATGTTCACCAATTTTCACCCCAAACATCCTTCTTCCTCTTTACCCACCCACTTGAACCAGATCCACCCTCAATAATCACTGAAACTGTTATAAAACCATTTGACTTTCATCTTCAATGTTCATCTTATTTTAGCTTGGTTCAGTCTTGTGTCTTGAAAAATATGAATAATGTCTAAAAAAGGTGATTATTACCTTTGGTGTTCATTTAAGGAAATGAAATGATAAACAGATGATCATTTTGCATTTCAATATGTCTCCTCTTCCCATATGAATAAACATATTTGAAAGACACATTTTGTAAATGTTTCCTTGCCATTTGACGGTGAAAAATTGAACTCCATGCAAATCAATAACTCGACCTGAAAACAAGCTACTGTTTGAATTGATTGAAACATAACTGTTAACTTCATCTCGACTTTTTTTTAATAACTCCATCTTAACCTTTTTGTTACTTCAATATTGAAAATATTGATTTTACTTCTCAACATTTCATTAATAAAATTACCTTTTCACTCTCTGATCATTATAAATACTTTTTCTGCTATTTTTCAGTTTACTTTGCTCTTCTTAACAATGATTAAGTGTAACCAGTAAATGATTAAACCCAAAACCAGGAAAATCTTGAAATTTTCTTTCAATATCATTCCATTTCTGGTAATTTCAACCTTTTTCAGTTACCAGAAGCCGTTTCATTCACACAACATTCAATTAGATTGTAATAATTTATCAATTTTCACAGACTTTTCACTAATCAATACACAGTTTAACCATATTCAACTTTCAATTTTGACTCTTAATTTTCACTCTTTTTCAATATTGATTAATATTCAACTGCAAGTTGATATAAAATTATCATTAATTAACTGTTCATTTTTGAACGAAAACCTTGCAAGTTGGAGTAATTACTGGAAAAAAAGATTCCATCTAATGACGTTCATTAATTTATAATTAATTATCAAGTTAAATAATTAAATTAATGATGAAAATATTCAATGAAATGCATCCATTCTCATCACAACCTCAACTTTTCATTTAAAGTCAAACCATCGGCAACAATGAACCAAGTGTAACATTGTTTAACTGTTGATTGATTTACATAAATAGAAACATGATTGCCAGTTAAATGGTTACCAACAAATAAAGTATTAATAACAGTGATTTGATTAATTGTCAGTCAATGGCAACTAAATTATTAAATGAACATTAGCTGTAAAAGTGCTTAAACAGCCAGCCATTTATCCTCAACGAATCCATTAAATCAATGCAATCTTTAATATGAAATGTCCATCAGAAAAGCTGTTCATGTGTTCAACTTTACAGATTCATTATACATTTAAATGAACTACAAAAAGGCAAAGTTAAAAGGAAAATGAATAGACTCAGATTCTGTCTATTAGATTATTGACGGATTGGCGGATTGAAGGATGAATGATGATGGTGATGAGAAGAGTTGAGAAAAGATGAGAAAAGATGACGAAGAAGAATAAAATTGTTGGATCAAGTAAAAGATTTATAATCAAGATGAGAAGCCATCCGTCATCCCAGATGAGTTAACATTTATAACCATGATAGGATATATTTCATTGCTTCTCTCCTTTTCCCTCCCAAGGTTTACTTTTCACTCCCAGTCACTTTCATCACTTGACCATCCTCCCTTTATGGTCACAGATTATCTGTTGAAAAGTTGCCTTCCTCATCTTCCGTCATCATCATCATTGATCACAATAGTTAGTCTAACCTTCAACTCCTTTAACGATGACAGTTTAGACTGAAAGCAAACTTCTAACCCATTATTTCTTCATGATATTGATAACGTTCCCTGGGAGACTGATAATCAATAGATGACGGTTCAACAGTAAGAATACTCTGAATAATGATCAACATGATAATCAAGTATACAGTTTATCTTGGCTTCAGTTTCAAGTGAACATTTCTTCTTCTTCTTCTTCTTCTGTTAAACTTGCATTGTTATCATTCATGTTTACACTATCAATTCATATTTCACAAATTATTGGGAATAAATTGTTTCCAGTTCAATGATGTTGAATCAAGACAAACTTTAATTCAGTTAATTCAGTTGGAATCACGCTTCAAATGCAAATGCAACTTTCTCGTTAATCTTGAAATGTTGGTTTAACGATAACTTTTTTTTCTCTTCCTTTTCTCTTCTTTTCTTCTCTGTTTATTGTGATTACAGTTTAATTTGTTCATGATAAATTTCAATTTTAATCAAATTGGTTGCCAAAAGCTTGCTCTGTTAATCACCTTGATAAACCTTTCAACTCAATTGAAATTGTTTTCTTCCTGACAAATCTCTGAATCATTCCCAATCAAATGGAGTTTGAATTTTCTCTTCCTCAAGATATTTTACTCTTGATAATTTTCAACTTTCCCTTTGAATGTTTAAATTGTTATTGCTATCATCAATGACAACCATGAACCTCACTAGCTACAAGCCTTGCAAGCTTCAATTGTGAGTCACCTGGGAGTGAAAAGCAAAAAAATAGACAATAAAATTCTGTATAACATTTGTTGTTTTTCAACACAATTCATAATACAAGTCAAGGGAATACAAGGTTTGACGCTTTTGGCTCCTTTTACACAAAATTTTGATTCAACCTGATCTTCAACTAAATTCACATCACTTATCACATAAATAAATCTAAAGTTTCAAAGCACTCATCGAATCATGATTTAATAACATTCATTTTTCAAGAAAACATTTCAATAAAATTTTCATGACAATTTGTCTAATGAAAGATCAGAGCAAATCTTTTCAATTAACATTACATTTCCAATACAAAGTCAAGAGTCAAGCTTTTCTT